CAAAATATAATATATTCTGATATACTTATATCTGAATAAATTGAATGCTATCTGATTCGAAATTACGTTTCTAGATTTATCAAATATCCTGATGGGCGAAATCGAAATATAAATTCTTTAAAATCGGAATTGAAATCTCAGAATTAATAGATAATATATTTCAATCTTCTAAAAGAAATTTCTTAGAATTAGTAGATGATATATTCTAATTTTTCCAAAAATAAAATCTAGAATATCTATTATCTGATTTCATCAATAAATAAATTCGAATCAAAAAATATATGATCTTTTCGGATCGGAAGATATAGAATACGTCAGATTATCGGCCAAATATATGATATTATCGGATCGAAAATATCCAATATATTATATTATCAGATCGATCGTATATGAGATCCGGATTGATTTTCCGAAAATCGATATCAAATCGATTATAATCTATGAAATATCCGAGATATGATAGAAAAAATGATCTCCAAATTTTCCAGATATTCTAGAAGAACGATCCGATTACTCTACGGAAGAAAAATAATTTCATAATCTCATCATCTTTAATAGAATGCTATCTTCCTTTATTAGAAGATCGTCGCGAAAAATATGCCCAAATGGAAAATAAAAGAAATCTTCAATATTTCGTAGAACGAATATATTTCTTAGAATGATAGATCATTATAGAAAAAATCGATTCTCCGAATCATTAATATGAATAATGAATCTTAGATAAATATTTTAGATATCTTATTTATAAAATCATAATTTCATCATAAATATATCTAAAATTTCGTGAAATCATAATATTAGAACGATTACGAGATCGCGATATAATCTATTTATCCCTATCGATCTATCCTTTGAGCTGATCGCATCCTCCCGATATCGTCTCCTGCCCGTCCTATATTGCCCTTATTCAGAATCAATCATTTAAAATATCCGTCGTATTTGAGCGAGAATGAAAATCTAATCTATCATAGATCTCTCATTTTTCGCAATAGATCATTTGAGATATGATATAGAATTTCTTGATGAAGATATAAAGAAATAAGATTAAATATATAATTTCTTGGGATAGAGGGGAAATCGATTTCTTCATATGAGACGAAAGAAAGGATAGAAAACTTTTATGATGAGAAACGAGAAGATATATATAATAGAGAATAATTTTTTGATTTTTTTTAGATATATATATATAGAAGAGAATAAGAAAAAATCGATAGAAATGAAGGCGAGAATAGATAGCTATTATAGAATATCTATCAAAATTCTCATTTTTTCTTTAAATCCTAAAATATCAATATAATACGAAATAGATTGTATATTTATTAACTTAAAATATATCATATTTATTCTATTTTAATTTCTATCGCATATATTATCATAATTTGATTTTCTGAAATATTTCGAGAGAAATCATTCTCTATTATATATAATGAATTTATAGAATTTTTATTTCTTCGCGAAATATTTTCAATATTTTCTCAAAATTCTTCATGAATATCGTATGAGACGCGCCTCTGAAGATTCGAATGAGAAAAAAGAAATCTCATTATTCAAGAAATCCGAAGAATCTAACTAGATATCTCCAAGAAAATATAATTTCAAATTCTTAGATTTATCATAGAAATCGATAATTATTATAATAGAATTTCTTGATTTACGATAAATATCATAATAATAAGAATATATTATATAGCAATATATCATAAAAATATTCATGCGAATCATAGAATTACAGATATTATTTAGTAGAGAATATCTATAATAAAAAATCGATAATCCCATATCATATAAATTCATATTTGCAATACGATGATGAATTTATATAATATAAGATATATTTAAAAAAATTAGATCCCCGACCCCGGGTCGATCCCCATATCCAATCCGATCTTTATAGATTCTATGCAAATTTATCCCGGGCCTGCACGCTCCAACGGATAACGTGCCAACAACCAAATCGAGCTAAATCACGCGAATCATATATATTCTCATAGAAATAATCACGCTGCTAGCTTCTAAAAGATTTTAGATTTCCGCCCCAATTCTGCCTCGAGCCGCCGCGCAAATAACCAAAGACTTCGAAATAATGAGAAATTTTCCGCTGCGCGACTCCCCGCATGCAGAACGCATAAATCTCCATCGACAGAAACGGCCAAGCTATCAATTCTGAAAGATTTTTTTTCCTCCATCCCAAGTCTATATATTCCGCCGAGCAATCGCGCAGCCGGCTAAAAACAGATAAATCACGCGGAAAATCATTCCGGATGCAAGGACCGCCCGACCAAAAATCTCCGAGATTTTTACCCGCGCCGCCGGGACCAAAAGTCTCGGAGATTTTAAAGCCTCTAGTTTTTCCGAAGGGCTCTAAAATCTCCGAGAGAGCCTGCAGGAAGCGTTTTAGAGGTGAACCGAAAAGCTAGGCCGCGCGCGAGCGAAATAGCCGCGCCGCGCCGTAATATTGAGGTATTTTCTTTCTCATCATAAAATTCTTCCTGCATCCCTTCTTTCCCAATCAATAACTTCTCCTGCCACTTCTTTCCCCATCAAGAAGCCGCCCCCCCCCACCATTTCTTTCTCCATCAACAATTCCTTGCCCATACCCCTTCTGTCCTCATCAACTCCCCCCCAATCTTGCACTCCTCATCAAGTTCCTCCCCCATGCCACTTCTTTCACAATCAAAAAATTGTGCCCACACCCTTTCAGAATTTTCGAATTCTTTCGCGGTTTCATCTTAACCAATCTCCGCCACATTTTTCGAAGTTAACAAGTTCCAATTCATCATATCTACCGTTTTAGAAGTAACCAAATAATATCACATCTTTCCAAACCCCATCACGATCTTCAGAGATTCTCCCAAGCTTCCTTTTCCAAATCTCCTCTCAATTCGAGGAAACCCCGATATCGTTGGCCTTGGAAGTCCAAGGCAGGGCTTCAGCCGTGGTCTCAATGCAACCTAGCTACGAGTCGCAGAAATGCGAATTTCAGAGCCCTAAGCCATGCTGGGGCCTGCGAAGCCGTATGAAAAGACCCGTCAGCTGTTGCGGTGGACTGTGCCAATGCCAGTGGAGAAGTTGCAGCAACAAGAAGACATGTTTGATATGGCGACACTCCACGCCAACAATGCGGGTGAACAACATTATTCCTACATGGCATACGACGTTCACGTGCAGTTGGCCAATTTCAGCCTCACGTGGAGTGTTGAGCCAACTACATGAGGAGTTGGCTCCAAGCGTGCACTGTCTGCGCGTGCACCCTTTAGGTTAACACGAGCAAGGTCACCTAATTTCAAGACTATGGTGTTGCTGCTACCTGCAACACGCTTTTTTGCAGAAGGGATCTTGTCGGCAGATGTAAAACAAGCTTCGTGTAGTGCGCGCTACATGCGCTACTTGGCAAGAGTTTCAGGTAGCCTCACACACCAAACGAAATCATCTCAGCTGGTAACCGTCGGGCCCCTTTCGTCAGGGAACTGCCCGTTGCTATTCAAAAGCTCTGAATGCCTGCAGCAGCCATTGTCCAGCTTGGAAACATGCCACATATGCCCATGAATTGAGCTTTTGGCCAATCCATGATGGTTCTGGCCTCTGCCTCAACCTGAGACATTCGTCAATCTTAGATGTGCCCTGACTACAGTGAATGCTGCAAACACGATTGACCTGGCTGCGCGAGTTGCAAGATTTGATCCGAGAATTTGAGACCAAGCTTCTCAAGGCAAGGCCAGCCGGGGCTGCCGAGATTGGAATTAGCGTTTTTCTGGGGCTTGAATCGTGCTCCGGGTGGAGGTGTTCAGGCATGGCAGGGCACACATGCACGTAGTGGTGGCTGAGCCTGGCTGCCCAGGCTCGGCCTTCAACGCTTCTTGTACACACTTGCGTGGTTCTTCAGCGTCTGGCCATGGCAGCTTCAAGCGACACGGGCCCATCGACAGCCTTGGCGAGTAGCACCGTAATATCCCACATCGAAGAAAAGCTTGGGTGAGTGCCTTGTTTGGCGCTGGCTTGCAGCCGCCTCGCTGCACGTTTGATGCACAACGTTGCACAATCAGGCTTGAATCCAGTCTTGACATTGCCTGGGTTGCCAGGACTGGGTCGTCCTGAGCCTGGAAGCATCTGAAACTGGTCAATCCAATCAAGTAGTGATGACTTAGCTGGGGGGCTTAGCCTGTCTTTGGACGTCTTCCCCTGGCCTCAGCTGATGCAAGCCAGCAGGGCTGGTTAAGGTACACATTCAATTGGTTCGGAAGTCTGTGCGCTGATGCATCTGAGCCCCACGCAGCTTCCGACATTGGAGGCCACAGCATCCTTAGATGAAACCATCCTCCATTAGAACCCTCCATCACTCCCAAACAATTTTTCTCTGCTATCCGAGTAAGTGCAAGGCCCCGCCAAAGTACGCTGCTTGATCAACCAAAGCTCGGCTTGAGAACAAACGTCAGACCTTTCGATGTTCAGCTTGCCAAGCTTGGCTGGCAGCTTGTGGCAGGAGAAGTGTAGTTGACACAGCACCACTGCACACAAGCAGAGCCTTGACATGAAGAAGCACCATCCAGAGCGTGACCGGGACATGTCTAACAGCACTGCGTTATACATGGAACCCTTCATTACATAGCATGTCAGGTTCAGGAGAAACTTCTCAGCCTCAGACTTTTCCCATCCGCCTGCCTTGCGACTTCTGCTGACACCGCTTGCAGGCCTAAGTTTCAGATTCCCAGCATACGATTGCCAGCTTGACAAAAAAAGAAAAAAAAACAGTTCTGGGACATGTTGTCAGATGCAGTCCAGACAGCAGGATTATGTAAAAACAAGGCGGCGCGCTCCACAGGTTTGACCGTGCCTGCTCTTCGCAGGGGTGTTCCTCTTCACTGCAGAAGCTGACTTGATCTGGCGTGGCCTGCAGGTCCCAAGGTACTCCTTCGAAAATGAAATGATGCCCTGAATCTGCACAGCCTCACTGAAGCAATGACCACTGGCTGGTAAAGCGCGGGCGAGCCTAGCTGACGGTGCTAGGCTGACACGGTCTGTGCAAGAAGCACTCGCTCGTAAGGCGCGATGCTCATCGGTCGGGCGGGCTTCCCATCTTTTACCTGCATGCGCAGTGCTGGTTCGTTCTTCAACAGCTTCGTAGGCAACGCTAATTTTCTCGATCATCAAGGTCTTCCAACTGCATTCCGGCCATCAGAGAACGCGCCGCAGAGATTGCACTGCCACATGGGTTCCTGCATGGCGTCGCCTGTCAGGTTGAAGCTTGTTACTCGTCTAGTATCCACTTTTATATTCTTCTATGATATTCGGAGGATTTTCTGTCAAACTCTCGGCGGAGTACAGCCTCGTCGGTGACATGCACGTCTTGCTCAGCCTGGCAGGGATCAGGATCGATGGTGACAAGGCCCAGCAGAAGCAAACAGCTACGACAATTACCAAGCTCGGCCAAATGCACAAACCCTAAACCGTAAATATACCACAATCGACTATAATATACTATAATAAAAATAATGATAACACTATAACATAGCGTACAGTACAAGGACTTTTGGAACAGGAAGTAGCCTTCAGCATTCATGTCTTCCAAGGGAGGGAACATGCTGTCAGCCAGCTTTACCTTTTTCTCCCATGCTGATCATTTCCTACCCCTATCTGTGTCGGGTGATGGTTGGTTTTCTCCATCTTGCAAAGGTGGTACCAGTTTTTGATGTCTGGATCTAGGCGGATGCTACCAATGAGGCTCTTGATTTCATGCTGCAGGCGGAGCTGGCCAAATCCAGGCCTGGGCAGGTTGACCAAGAGAGACTTCTCGGACAACTCGCTCCCCAAACTGACACGGATTTGAGACTACATGGGAACCCTTTAAGCTCCATAGCATCGATGAGAAACTCCAGCGCCTGCACGAACTCTAACGGAAGGGGTGGAACGCTCTCTGGTCGTGCGCAGGCCGTCCACCGCCTCCTCATATGCTTGAGACGCGACCTACCTTGCCCAGCTTGACGCCATGTGATACAGAGTCACGCACAAACTGCCACATGCATGCGCGCCTGGCCGTTACCCCCGTCGCTTCTTCGCCTTCACCAAATGAAGGTCTGCTGATGGGTCTGTGCTGGCTTCAGTTACGAGCGGTGAACCTCCGGATCGGTGTGCTGCACCCTTTGCAAGTGGCTGCGGCATGCCAAGCCCAAGCAAGAAATCCACCTGAATAGAGAAGCCACGTGGTCCAGGCCTCGAGTGTCATGCGCCGCCTCTGCGCCTAACAAAGCACAGCCCGAATCCAAAGAAGCGACACTGAGGCCACTGGCCTCAGAGGCGTTTGTGACGTGGCGGAAGGGAGCAGAGCTTGCCGACTGTGGCCGTGGTCTCCTACGGACCACACACTAATACACACTCTTCCTCTCTTGACCATGGGGTGCTGCTATGTCACAGGTGCCTTCGCTGGGCCAGCTCTGCCACTCTGGACTGGGCCAGGAACGACTTCGCCTTTGTATGGCGTTGCTGCAGGTCGCGGGCTCTGGCCCACTAGCAAAGGCACCAATCAGCGGTGCCTTCGTCTGAAGACACAGCACAGCATAGACCTCGCCCACAGCAGCCTGCATTGGACAAACATGCTAATTCGCCAAACTGCTCGGGGACACGAAGGCTGGATCACAAGAAAGCACTTCTTCGGGTGTTGTCCATGCAGCTACCATGGCTGGCGCACATGGCTTCTAAATATGGTCTGCTCCCGAGATATGGAAAGCAGGAGCACATCCGCGCACACTGCAGACTATCTGTTCATGTGGAGATCATGGGTCCATTTCAATGCCTTTGGCAAGGATCTGGCGCCGAGTAAACACTATGTGCGTGCAGAGGATTGCATTGTCATTTCGACAAACTGAATAATCCGGCAATTTCAGCAACATGCTCTTTGGCATCACCGCATGCGTGACAATGCAATCTCTCCATGCTGATGGAGCTCTAGCTGAATTGAAAATTGTGCACATGCTCGATTGTAAGCTCGTGTTTGCAAACCTGCGCGAGCGACCTGCTCTCGCGACCTCACTCTTCCCATGCTGGCTGAGGCCGACCTCAGTCCAACAAGATATCTTACTCATCTAACTTTCGATTTCGACCTCGATTTGACAGCTCAGCCTGCGTGTTTCTAAAGAGCCACTATGCTGGACGACATGAATGGATGAAATGAGTCTCGCAACCAACCACAGCTGGCGACTCAGCAGCAGCTGGCCTGGCGTAGCACTCGGAATCAGAACTTTTACTTGCAACAGCAAAGGTCGTGAAAGGGCTGCAGCTCATGTCAAAAGATGCTGTGCCGGCCTTGAGGGACTTGGATGCCCGTCCTTGGAACAACCACAACAAGTTGATCCCAACAGCCACCAGCATCGTTGCCGATGGTCCTGTGCAGCCGCTGGTGGAGGCTGCATTGTGGTGTCAGCTTTACCTGCGTTCTTGGAGACTGGCGCAGGCACGTGGCAGCTAGCGTCTGGGCTGCCGGCAAAGTGGACAAGATCTTGGCATAAAGCGATTTGCGGAAAACCACCGATCGATGCATTCCTTGCAATCTCTAGCAGAAGTTCTGGCATTCAACTCAAAGAAATGGCCTCGTGAAAATAGTGACGACAGGGGAGCACACGGAGCATGTCCTCTGCAACCACATCTGACGCTTTTGCGCCCGAAAGATTTGTGGGCAACATGCACACAATGCTCGCCTCCTCAGAGTAGGGCTCCAAGCAGAGGCAACACTCGTCACAGCTCGGACGCTTGCCAACCTAGCACGTCAACATTCATCATTTCATCCCAGTCAGCCCTATTCACAGTAGAAAAAAGACCTACAAGTTGTCCGATTCGGAGCACCTCCAGCTCCCTGTCCTTCCACATTTCAACTGGCAACGCCTGCAATACTTCAGCGGTTCATGCAACCGCAGCTTGTGCACAGCGAACACAGTATGAGTTAGGCTATGCAGCTTGTGCAGAAGACATCCAGACGTCGCACCTGCAGTGAAGCAACCACCTGCTGCTCTTCTGTGCGCACCTGCAGGCCAGTGCCAACAAGAAGCATCTCCGGTGCTTTTGGCTAACGGTCATGGTTCATGCACAAAGGAGTGGGTAGTGGTGATTTGCGTGATGAGGAATTTGAGCCATGCTGGAAAAAAAGCGTGCAAGTGTAAGAACGCTGCAGCTTCAGTGTCCCGAAAGCGTCTGGCCTTGGCAAGGCAGCACGAGGGTGAAAACATCTGTGTTGGCAGTCTGAGCCAGCCCACCAGTTCTGAGCGAGCCATCAGCTGTGACTCTTGCATAACAAAGTCCTCACAAGGCTGCATGCGACGCTTGTCCGTGCTGCGGCAAACCTAGCTTCGTGGCTCCTGGTGACGTCTCGCCTTGCAATAGCACACCATGTAAACCTTGGTGATTGCCAGTATGCAAGTATTATTACAAGAATCACCTCGTAAATCAGTTCTGTGAGGGCAGGGCAGGCATCAAGGATATTGCGAAGCCAAGGACAATGAACGCGGCAAGAACCTGAGCAGTCTGCAGCCGGAGTGGTGGGCCTGGCAGAAAAGCCGATCTCAGGCAGTCGCACAGGCATAGCCAACCTAGGCTTGCTTTAGGCATCTTCAGGCCAGACACAGCATAGTGAGTCTGAACAGCTCCACAATGTCCAGACAGATTGGCATGTTACACGCATTGGCAATGTTCACATAGAACAGTGCTGACAAAAGGTGATGCCTGCACAGGTCGACGCCCACTCTTGCACAATAATGACCACTCAGGCGGCTGCTGGAGAGAACCAAGTATCTCCAAGCTTTGTGCCATACGGCCTAGCATATTCACACAAGCCAAGTGAAGTTGGTCTTGGCAGTCTGACGTGCCATCCTGCAGATGTAGCGAAGCCGAACTTGAGTCCTTGCCAAGTGGGGAACTGGTTGGCAGAGTCACAGAATTGCGCCAGCGAACTGGGCGAGGTGCTGATTAGATTCAGCACTGAGGACGAGGAGCGCTTCTGACGTGCCGGTGAGGGCCTGAGTAATCCGCGTTCTAGGTGCATTGTTTCGACACTCTTGGAAAGCCCGGGTGATGCACCATGGCGGCTGGAAGTGGATTTGTGCGGTGGAACGTTGCAACTCTCGTCGAGGAGTGCATGCGCCCCGACCTCGACAGGAGCTATAGCCTGCCTAAATCCATAGCTCAGAATCGGGGCAGGCTGCCTGATTGCATAAACACCTGATACCAGACTGAGGGAAGCACCCATATATGACAAGCGCGTCATATCCTGCCGTGCTACAACGGGACAGTCGCTGAAAGTGCTGAGTGCTCCAATGCCATCTGTACGCCTGAGAACTGGGATTCGCCGATGAGCGTAAACTCGATAGCCTTTCGAAAGGCGGGCAATTTCATCGAAGCAGCACTTGACGTTGCATAAGCCAGCCTGCAAGCTGAAGCTCGGGTAAATGTGCCAGGCACAATCGCTTACCCTGGCAAGCCAATGAGCGTGAAATGGACTTTGCTTTACAAGCCACTGTCAGTTGAATTGGTTTCTGGACTGCTCCGAATTCTCATTCCCCGCATCGTAGGCCCACCAAAAGCCTGGTAGAGCCAGCAGGCGCGCCGAAGCCAATGATTTCACCTAGATATATGGCTCTCTTCGTTCAGCGGAAGCAGCCGTCTGCAAATTGGACTTGTAAAAAAAAACATCTGACAAGATTTCTGACAAGGCCTTCTAGCTCGGTCAGTAGCTCAACACCTGGGCAACAAGCACAGCCCCCGAAGCAAGCAGCTCCTTACAAAAATGTCGGACTACTGCTCAGAAGTTAAAGGTGTCATTGTGTTCAAACAGCCGTAGCAGTCGAGCGGCAAGACGCCCGTAAGACATCCCAATATGAAGACATCGCATTGCCCTACCGAGAGTTGTATGAGGCATTTTCCAGCAGCCTCTTGAAAAGTTGTTTCTCGTTTGGGGCTTCATCTGTTCCAGCAGCGGGCTTTGTAGCGCGAAGTGAGATACCATCGTTGCGGAGCCGCATGAGAAGCGGGCTGCGTGACGGGCGGCCACCCGGAGGGGAGTGGTTTTCGAGACAAGAGATCATGGGACAGGAAAGCAGTCAGGATATGAAGAGCAGGAGTGTGGATTCTTGGATAGGAGGCAGGGGGACTTGAGAGCGAGCTTTGGGACAGGCCACGAAACAAGCTGGCTGCAGAACGCAATTCGGGATAGGAGGACGCGGGAATGGAAGGGTAGCTCACGGGGACACCATGAGCGTGGAGCAGGCTTTGGGATGAGATGATCTGTGTCGACTCCCCCTCACAGTGGGATGGCTTGTGGTGGGGCAGGCTGAGTAGGAGGAAAGTTTGGGATCAGTATGGGTTTCTGCTCGTCTGGGTTTCGACATTGGAGCATTCCCAGTAAAAGCTCCATTCAGATCCGTTTCGCATTAGAGTTTACCATCGGTCAGGGCTTCTTCCCCACCCTCAGTGAGGTTGGTAGAACTCAAGAAGTCAATGTTCTGCTCGCTCTGCGTGCAGCGCCCAAGCAAAGAATATGCGACCGCCGAGTATCTTTTGGCGTGCCCAACCACAGAAATTCTCGGAAGTGCCCAACTGCAGGGTATCCCTGCAGTGCCTAGCCACAGAGTATCCCTGCAATGTGCAAACCCAGAGTACCCCAAAGTCTCCCCGCATGCAGCAGACAGCCGCTTACTATCGCTGCAGCTCCCAACCCCAGAGCATCCCCGCTGTGCCCAACTTCCCGCATCCCTGGAGTGCCCAACCCCAACGAATCCCAAAGCATCATTATGAAAATCCAAGCCTCACACAAGCCGCCCCGCCACCCTAACGGTAGTGCTTGGCATGTACAGTTGCTACGCTTGCAGACCGGCACAACCATTGAGAATTACAATGCTGATGCATGCTCCTTTTCGTGGCTGGAAACAGTTGATGATACTAGCAAACCAGACAAAAGGTAAGAGTGAGGATGTTCGAAGTAAGTTGCTGCCACGTGGTTGTTTGTCGATCTGCAAGCCGACAGCGTTGCAATGTGGAACTGCAAACGCCAGATTGTCATCGTTCTATTCTGAACGGAGCCTTCCAAAACCAACCGAGACAAGGCCAACGGTCAGGTTAGGTGCAGGGGATCTTGCTCCGCTTATTTTACATGTTTTTTGGGTTTCAGTTTAGACTTTTTGGTATTGGATGACAAGGCATTGCTGTCATCTTTCCAATTTGCTCTCTGCCTTCCAGTCTTTTTGTTTGGCATCTTTATCTCTGAGCTCAGGGATTGTTGCGAGAAAGGCTGAGTCTGGGCATCTCCTCTCTCAGGCTGTGGCGGCAGTAAATCGATTGACAGCCAGCAGTTGCAAACAAGCCTGGTGCAATGGAACTTCGCAGGTCCAACGGAGAAGCAACTGCCACTGCACAACACTTGTAGCCGGCAGACCCCAGACACATAGAATTCGTTGCCAATGGCCTGCCTTGCCAGACGGTCATGTCTTCAAGATTTATGTCGCAAGTGCAGTGCAGGAGCGCATCAACAGATTTCTGAGACAAGGACATTCATTCATTCCATCATTGCTGTGCGAATACCATATGCTTCCAGGGCTGCGGCTCCAAACCGGCCCGAGACCCCAGAACTAGCAATTGAAGGATAGCATGTGGCATTATGCTGTTATTGCTCTATAGACTCCTCACTACAAAAACCCGAAACTGCAATTGGCAATTGGCCATTCCAACAATATGGGATGTTTTGAAGGAAGCGGTTCAAGACCTTTTAAAGTGATAAGCACGAAGCAGCAGAGCAATCTTGGCTGGAAGTCTTGCAAATGGATCGTCATTGGCTGTTTCAAGTGGAACATTGGCCCAGCTTGAGCCAAAAGCTTGCCATCACAGATCCATTGACGCACAGCAATATGGTGAAGAAAGTTTTGGCGAAGAAGGTTTCCTAAACTTGTGCACGCATCAGGCCGCCTTGAGCCGCATCATGGCTTGAGCCTGTCCGAAATGCCCCCGCGGGTACCGAGATACGCATATACACATGTATATGTATATATCTATATATGTATATACAAATAAGATAATCGACTATATGTACATTTGCAATACTGCAGAATTTCATACAACGCACTAGCAGATTGTAAGACCCTTCACACCCCCCCCCTCCCAAATGACCTTCTGCAGCAGCTCCGGCGGGTCGAGCTGGGTGGCCAAGAGGGAGCGGAGCAGCAGGCACTTAGCTTTCGCCACACTTCAAGCTTACTTCTGGTCATTGGTGCTCAAGGGGGGATGAATATTGAAACTATTATGGGGATTCTCTGTGGATAATTATAAGAATCCACTCCCCCCTTCTCCCTGCAGCACCAGTAAGGTCAGCAAGGAATATCCTCCTAGTGGCAGCTGCAATATAGTAGTTTCCATTTTCTTTTTTCTTCCTTCTTTCCCCGATAACCGAAGATTGCAAATCGGTACCCACAAAAAACATGAACGATTCAGAGACAAGAACCACAAAGTGCTTGTTTCACGTCTGTTGCTTCATCTTCTGAGCTGCTGACTCCTTGGAGGTGCACGTGGGGAAGCTCTGTAGCTGGAGCATCAGTCCAACTTTGGGTCGCCAAGGATGGGGAGGCGGCCTAGGGCTTGCAGGACAAGTCCGGAAAAGTTTCGATATGTTGTCATGCAAGTTTGGAGGCACAGCGGAGAGCACCCAAAGAGAAAAACAGAGAGAGAGAGAGAGAGAGAGAGAGAAATGGAGATGTGGGGGCCCTGCTCGACTTCTGCCAGCTGCAGCCTCCTGCGATTTGCTGAGCCGCATGCACACAATCAAAGGGAACGTGACTGTAACAACGCCTCTGCCGGGTGAGAGGCAAGGCGCTCAGGTGACACTGGACGAGATGCGTAGGCGGGGATCGGCCTCGCATCATGAAAAGGACCTTGCCTACATGAACAGCTTTGAGGTCCAGGGGTCTCAGTGTAGCTGCTCTAGGGACGGGGCTCTTCCGTCGCCTCTACCTGACTCAGATGCTCCCATGCCAATCTGAAGCATGCAGGAAAACAGCATGCTGACAGTTTTCAGTTCAACTTCCCAGGCATGTTAGACGCGGGCATCCTGCTACAAGGATACGCGCAACTCAATGCTCATTTGTGGGGATTTCCACATGGCAGTCGTAGATCTCGATGTCGAGGATGACATAGGGTTGCACCAGTTGCATTGACAAAGGGTGATGTGAATCTGCAAAAATCCCCAAGAAAGGCAATGGGAATTGAGATGCCTTCGCAGGGCTGGCCATCGAGGGGTAGGATCTCGAAGCCGTCTCTAGGCAAACCTGGCCAACTACAGCTTGCGGATTCTCCCAAAACTACAGGACCTTTGTGGTGGTAGATGTTTTAAGGACTACAGTAGGGGCCGATAAAGTTGAGGAGTATACGCTTCAGAGAGCGAGCAAAGCAATGATTACAGGGGGCAGGATCAATCCTGGTAAGGCCTGCTCAGGTTCCTACGGCGTGCATGCCGCATCATGAGAGTAAATGCTCTGGCCTCCAGCTGTCGACGCGTTTCCTTCAATGCGTCGCGCTAAGCACTTGGTACTTCGTGCACGAATTCATTCTGTAGCGCTCGCGCTTTAAGCAGGGCTCTCAGGGACTGCAAGGCCTTCACAAACCAATAGAGGTCCCGAGAGGTTCCGCTTCACTGGGGTCCTCCATGCACAACTCCAAGGCCCGCAACCTGTCGTTGCACAGGCCATCCTCCTGGCAGGTTCGCGGGCTCCGGCCACCGAGACCATACACGGACACGACATCATGCCCGATGAATTACGCTCCAGAAACATGTGCTGGCTAAAGTCTGTTGGCTTGTGGTTGATGATGATGCTTGGATGAACGCTCTACAGAAATTGATGCCAGCGGCTCCCGTGCGCCCTGAAGTGGTCAGTGCCACATGTGCAACACATAGAACGTATAACAAACGCGCTGAAAGAAGCATGGCCAAAGTTGCTTCCCAGTTCAGCCTGCCTGCGTGCGACTTGTTATAGAAGGTGAACCCGCTTGCGGCAGAATCTGGCAGGCAAGGCAGCATGGATCGCAACCAGCAACAGAAACACTTCCTTCTGTGACTGCCTGCACATCTTGTGCTTGAGTGCCACCAAGCCTAACATGAATCAAATCTTAGGCTAAGTCAGCCTGACATCAGTTTACTGAGTTCGAGGCTTTGAGCGCTTCTCCTGGCATGCATGCAGGCTCCCTCTGCCGACTCTCTGCGCGCAGCGGAGCAAAACTCGCTGCAAGCCTCAGGCACACTGGGCTGGCCACATGCCCTTGGCGAGGACAGCGTGCCAGCACCTCTGCCCAGCTGACGTAGCTGCAGCAAAAAGAACTGCCTTCCCAATCCAATGCCTGGAGGGCTTGCTGATGCGATTGGCGATGCGTCAAGGTCCTGTCGGCGCTTCTCAGGGTTCGTTTCCAGCGCAGTTTGGTGATGAAGGCGTCTGTCCTCGACGGCTCCAAGGACAACTTCTCCCGCAGGGTGCTGTGCAGCTTGCACAGCAGCTTCAACCTCTCGCATGCATCCACAACCCTGACAAACGCGCCTGACTTACTTTTACAAATGGCCTGACAGCCTTGCAGCAAAATCCAGCACGTCTTGCAACAGGTCGGGCTATCATTGAAAACCACAGTATCCATGCCAAGGCTGTTTGCACCGAACAGCTGTCGGGTGTGAATCATCACCAGACAGACCCCGCAGAAATTCCCCTTCCTGCAAAAACCAGGTGTGGCATCCTTGATTCCCAAGATTGAGTATCATTATGCGCACTTACTTTTTGTTGAGGGCTTGGAACTCTCTTTAACAAAGTTTTGTCTAACATGACTCCAGGCGTTTCTGCTCGTCTGCCGTGCCTTGGTGATCTCCAGGCTCGTCACGTCAGCTCCTGGCTGAGTGACAAAACAGGGGCCTTCACAGGTTGGAGCACTGGAGAGGCTCTAGAGTTGAACGCTTCATGTGAAGCACGTGAGCCGTGTTTGTAAGTCTGGTCAAGTACTTGATGTACAGAAGTGCGTGAGCTTTTGGCTTCCGCGACAGCTGTTCTCCACACGGCCTTTTTGCGCAGTATAAGCAGCCGGGAACTTTAACATGCATGAAGAAGACATGCATGTGCTCTTAAAGAGCTTCTGCTGAAGGCGCCCAAACTTCCGGATGCTGCCGTGCCAATTGCGATTCCAGCAGCCCAGACATAGTACAAGAATCTTTCTGAAGAAAAGGTGGCTCATGTTGTCATTTCCTTGATGAGTTGCCCACCCTGCATGTGGCTCCTCGAGGAGGGGATGGGCTTGCAGAGGGCCGTGACTGCGTGGGCGATCGACCAGAAGCTGGTCTGAGCCCCATTTCTGGGGATGCCTCAACGATGAAATGCTTTGCTCAAATCCTGCTTCATCATCGACTTGGTGGCTGACGGCGCGAGAGGAAGGCAGAGTTGTGACCTCTTCCTGAGTCAAACTACTAAGCAAGCTCATGGATGGGTTGACTTACTTCAAGAATGCCTCCTGCTCCACAGCCTCATCTTCAGCAGCCACAGACATTCTAACCTTGACGGCAGCGTCATTCAACCAAAGGATTGCTCAATGGCACTGCCTGCCTGCTCAATATGCTGCCAGGCCTAGCTGGACCAGAATTCGAAGCATTTTGAAGCCCAGGTCTCAAGCACACTTCTCTCTGGCCTTCTCCGCAGCTTGTTGGCGCTCTTCGGCCACTCTCCGAGCCTGTCAGCGGCTTAGGTCGGAGAATAAAACATCTGCATTTTTTACGACATCGTCTTCAAAGTAATCGCATCAGGAGCTTGTCTCAGAATTAGCACCTCATGCAGGTCATGCGACAGCTCTTGCTGCCGGTCATCTTGCCGTCGCAGTTCTTCGTCTTGCAGCTGAAGTCTGGATTCCAGCTCGGCGATGGTTGCCTCGGTGAGCAAACAGCTGCATGCAGATGTCATCAAGTTCCCACTGAGAATTCTGCCTTCAAATCCCGCTTTTCCGCTTCAGATCGCTGCCTGAAATAGCATATGACATGTGCGTGGCTTGAAGCCTGCGGTGGTGGTGCATCCAGTATCCCCATGTTGGTCACATCCACCTAATCTTGCTCTAGGTCATGACGACATGAATCCAACTCTCTGTAAGTTCAGGCACAGGATGTTGAAATGCGAAGTTGCTATCTAACATGCTCCTGCACGTCAACAAGTACATCACATACTTTCGGTTCTGTACCACATCTTTGTGCTTACGGTGTGTCCTGCAACATGTCTTCCCCTCCTCTCTTCAGCAAGCGCCACTTGCGTGGAAGCTGCTGCCTCTCAGGAAGCTAAGCATGTATACCTTCTTGCAAGCGCTTCAGCAGTTGCCTCCAGTATGTCCGCAGTAGATGCTGCCCTGCGAGAGCTGCATACCCCAGCGGTGCTTGCCATCTTGCAAGTTGCAGGAGGGTGAACTTTTTCGGCTGTACCTCTTCTGCAACAGAACAGCTAGGAGGCCAGGACTGATCTCTTTGAGATGTCTTTGTCCGCAACATTCAAACGCTGATCGATACCGACAGCGGCTAAAATCCACGGCTATGTTTGGTCTATAGGGTTGCCGCCGGCACCAGAACAAACCTTGTGGCTCTAACGAGGCAGTCCATAAATCCTTTTAAAGTCGCACGGTTGCATGCTGCTAGGCGCTCGAACATTAGACAACGTTACACTATTAACCATCTTACTCCTCAGCAGTCACATTGAAACTGGTGACAATGGCAAATTATGTACATTGGAGCGGTATTCGGGCAGCGATCTTTGCACTGCCAGACGTCTTTGGCGCTTGGAAGCCTGAGCTTGGAACACCCTGTTCACTCCAGCCATCAGAATCCATCGTGCAGAGGACAGATGGCCTTTACTTTCAGCGATGCGCCGACGATATTCGGCAGCATATCGCCTGATGAAACGCAGAACATTTCTGGACACAGAAGCCAAGAGCATACGAGCAGCATCGCCCCGAGGGCGTAGCTTGAAAGGCCCGTCGCCCTCTGTGGATGCAGGCTCTCCTGATCCCGCCAACAGGTTTCACATCATCCGCCCCCCTTTCAACTGCAACGCCTTGTGCTTGCCGTGGCCAATGAGCCCACGGTGCTGACCTTGCAAAAGCACATTGTGGTGACATCAGCACGGGGCAGAGGGAAGGAGAGGTTCGGGCAAGAGGGCCAGAGCATCCTGGAAATGACCATTCCTGAACAAAAGCAGGCAGAGATGGAACAGCCAAGTACCAAGAGACCAAATGGTAAGGGTGGCGCAGATTGGACCCAAAATAGAAGGGCTTTCCGCAAGCAGCATCTCCCACCAACACGATCCAGCCTACAAGATGGCCGGCACGCCATGTTGCTTGGCGAAGCATGGGAGGCAGCATCCCCAACCCTGCAGCCCGCATATCAAGCGTACTGTAATAGGTACTGTAATAGGAATATGTGCCTAGGCATCACAGACAACCATGCCCATGCGCTGCCTGTGCGGCTGCCCAGCTGCACGCGCTGCACTACCTGAGGCAGCAGGGGATCAGCTCAGCAGCGCCACTGCGAAGATGCGTTCTGACAGGCCTCGCTGGAGTGCCAGTACGACCTCGCGCTCGCCACACATCCAGCAGCTCATTGCATCTTGCACTCCAATGAAAGCTTCTCAAACTAGGTCATAGCCATGGACCTTGGAAAAAAAGACCAACAATCCCAAGAAACTGCACGAATGCCAACATGCCGGCCAAGGCACGCAAGCGTGATCCGCGGAGCAACTTCACAAGGCCTTCAGAGGTTTTCGAGCCCTGTGCTTGGTCACGGAAGATAGGGTCAAAAGTCCATGAATATGCGAGACAGTGGCTCTAAGCCGGCTTTGATCTGAACTTCTTTTCTTTGAGGATCTAAGGACTGAACATTTCAGATCCGAAAGGTCGGGAGCTCTACAGGTGGGGATTTCTTTGGACGTATTCATCTTTTTTCGGGGGCCCGTATAACGGGACCTTAGGCTGAGGACCCTACAACCAAGAAGAGCATGGACGCAAACAACCCTGTAGTCTTCAAAAGGACCCTTCTCGCTTCCATGGCTTCCTTCTTGAGAAGCATCGCCCGACAGAGCATGTTCTAACCATGCGCGACATTGAGCAAGGCCTGACTGCACCCCAGCGGGCCTGAGATGCTTGTCCAAATATGTGAATGCGGCGCGCAAGCCCGCCACCAACCTCGGCTACATTCTCCTCTGGGCCACGACGTACTTTATGTATTTCAAAAAATGGGTAGGCTGATAAGGTTGCGGCTTGGATCGACTCTTTCGAGGTGGAACACCTTCAAATGGTCCCTCACTGAAACGGATGCCTCTGCCAGCGGCTGAGGCAAGGGCTGGTCAAAACCCCAAGGAAGGAGCTCAGTTTCAAGCCTGTCAAATGTCAAGAGCTAGGATCGTCTAGTTTTTACAGTACTCTGGACCTTCCTGTCTCGCGTCAAGCTACGCAGACGGGGCAAGCATAGGCAAACTCCAAGAAAGCTTGAACGCCGGGCCAATGTGTACAAGTTCTGAACGGGATCAGCACAACCTGAAATTTACTTCCCGCTGCCTTGCGAAGCGTGGGAGGCAGCAAAGTCCTGGACACAGTGCCCCAAGCAACTATGACTGACCTTGTTTCAAGTTTTGGCAGATTCACTCCTTCTGCGACGCCTCGAGGATGGCTCCACGAAGGTGGCCTAACAAAGGCGAGATGCAGTGGAGATATTTCACCGATGTCACTAGATAAATCTTCAAAAGCATTAGCATCTGCTTTGGTTTGGGCTCCTTGCGGATAATGTCTGCAGGGAGTCCCAGGACCCACAACCAACCCTGCACCAATCACAGCTGCTTGTCTGAAGCTTCGCGCAAGCATGCGCCTGCCTGCTCCTCGCTTGCTCCTGGCCGCAGGATGTACATTGGAAGGCCAGGAGCCTCAAAACGGCCCACGGCACTACGCACCTCACAGGTGAGACGGAAGTAGCCGTATCACATGGTGAAGCCACAGGCAGCAAAACGTACCTCCTGCAAGATCTTCCCCAACTCCGGGGCCGGCTGCAAAACAAACTTCAGAATCAGCGCCTGCACTTTCATGGCTTGCATGTGTTGCCTGGATATGTGTCGTGTGCAGACACCCTTAAATCAGACACTAAGCAAGCAGGATCTGTGCATAAAGGCAAGCTTTTGTTCACCCGGCAGTTGTTCCTGACCACCGTGTCTCACAGGAAGGACAGGCGAAGTAAGAAGAGCAGATGTCAGCAACTCATCCATGGCATCTTTGTTGCGTAGGGAATAGTACACCGCAAGCCTTACACGTGCTTCTTCCAAGCATCTTGCCCAGCAAGCAAACCATTGACGCTGCTTGTGCAATTGCCAGGCATTGGCCAAAGCATTGTGTTTCATGAAGCTCCCAAGCTTCTAGATGGCCCCAAACACCAGTACTTGTTTGATCACGATTTTCACAGGTTTCTGATCTCACTGTCCTCTAACAAAGTCAAGCAAATTTTCTCGGAGGGACACCTTGACAAGAATTCCTGGACGGTAAGTCACACTGATCCATGTGTTGGGTGAGGGATTAAATCAACTCTTTAAGCATCAAAACAAACATACGCCTGCCGCATCAAACAATTCTTTTTAAGCATCAAAAAAACTTTCGTACGAAATTTAATAGGGGCAAGGACAAAGGGCAAGCATTAAAAAACACGGATTTTCATTGACGTCTGGGTAATGGTAAATTTATTAGGGCCAGAGCAAAAGGCAAGCATCAACAAAACACTTATTTTCATTGACGTCTGGGTGGTGGTACTTTGACAATGATGGATAAAGTATGATAAATAAGAACCGTGATGAAGATGATGGGAAAAAGCATGGCAAAAATCATAAATATTGAACATGGTGAAACATGATGAACATGAAAATCATGAAAAAAACATGCAAATAAGTAAAAATTATGTAAATAATGAAAAATCATGAAAATCATGACCACAATGAACTATGACAAGTATGAACATGAAAAATGATGAGAAATGATGGACATGATGAATGAAGAAACGTGGTGACATGATGAGAAAATGATGATAATAATGATGAATGATGATAAATGGTGACACATGATGAAACATGATGAAACATCATGAAATATCATAAAAGATCATGAAAGATCATGAAATATCATGAAAAGTCATGAAAGATCATGAAAATAAAGACAATTTGCGGAAAACATGTGGAAACGGCAAAACATGTGGAAACTAATGGAAAATGACAAATAGATAAAGAGGAAACTGGTGAAAAGTCATGATGGACAGGGGTAACATTATGACTTTGTAAAATCACAGCGGGGAGTTGGGGGGGGGCACAGCCCCCCCCCCCCCAATTGCAAAACCTGGACAAAGATTGGGATACAGTATGTGCTTTCTTCCGCCACGTTAATTTGGCAATGGGAAGAGGATCAACATGATCAACAGAGATGAGAATGATGAAAATATGTGAAACATGAAACTCAATGAAACATGATGAACATAATGAACAAATCATGAAAATGAGTGAAGATTCTGAGAAACGATGAAACATGACGGAAAAAGATGAAGACACATGGAAATCTTGAAAAATAATGACACAACGTGAAAACAGTAAGCAGTCATCACTATGATAACATGAAAAATGATAACAGATTTACGGAACAAGTGAAAAACAATGACACATCATGCAAAAAGCATGAAACACAATGAACAAGTAACGAAAACACATGAACATGAAGGAACAACCCTGCAGAATGATGAAGACATTGGACAATTGAAATAAAATCGTGGAATGTCATGAAAATGATCCTGAGTATGATGAAAACTGTTGAGATTTATTACAATTGATGAAAACTGATGAAACATGATGAGCAATCCTTCCTTCCTTGCTTCCTTCCTTCCTTCTCAGGTTCCTGCCAGGGTACAGGGTCGAAGCCCACGCATCAAAAAAACCATTCCGGATTTGTGCACTCCCCAGGAAATAGGCGATAAGTTTTTTTGATGCTTCTATTTTGTGATGCTTTTTTTTTGTAAACCCCTATCCCCATGTGTTAGCTGCGCTCTGTGCCCTACAATTCCACCATAGCCTCGCTAACGTTTGCCCTGGGTTCTATACCTAAGAGAATCCGAGCGGCTCATCTTTCCGGGGCTTGAAGATGATGAAGAATCCGAAGCCCGGCTGTGGGTGCGCAAGGATTGGTAGGTGGACCATTTGCATGCAGCTTGGAAGCAACAGCTCGTGATAGAGACCAGCCCAATCTGAAACTAGTCCATGTCGCATAGTTATGGAATCCCAGCAGTCGGGCACCGCATCACAACCTCCTTTCAAATATCTGGACAGTGCCTCCCGCACCTTGGCAGGCTCGGAGAAGTCGCTCGATTGGAGGTGAACTCTGTGGACGTAATTTCCCGCGTTGGTGCTGGTAACCCCCAAGCCGCGATCACGAAGGTTGATTGACATATACCCGAAATCAAACCGGGACGTTGTCAGCAAGTGCGACGTGACAACGTCATTCGACGAGACGTTTGCGCACCCACACACTTTCTTCGCGTGCGCGACTTGAGCTGGGTTGACATGGCGTAGCTGCGGCTGAGGCGGATACCACAAGCAGACCGTCCGAAGCAAGCCCATCAGCGTCGGATAACGGATCAGCCAATTCTTGGAGAGACATACAGTGCATGATAGTGCATGGGTCACACCCCTACAACTTCTGCTTCAAGAGGCACATCAGTTCTGAGGCCGGGACAAATTGATTCTCTCCACAAGCTTTCCTGGCATCCTGTGCGAACCCAGGGCGCCGAAGCGGGCTCATGCTCACCACCTCCACCTTGCACAGTCAGCTCATCCATGATCAGATCATAGACCCTGGCCATCCCCCACTTGCAGAACCGCATCGCCAAAAAAAGGGGCACACCTGCCTCCGGATCAAGCATGGCATAGAGCCTGTAGAATGTGAAGCCGTCACCTCAACGCAGGACCAAGATCTGGCAAACTCCGCCACCTTCACGCAGATCCTTTCGGGCCTTCTCAGGATTGCAAGCAAGGTGCCGATGGTGTGATTCAAAGAGACGACGAGCATGAAATGCTCAGCATCTGCCTGGAGAAGCACAACTTTGAAAAGAACCTCGTCCCGGTTCACGGCTGCAAGCCCACAGTGGATGGTGGCTCCAGAGGTGTTCGCCACGTGCTCCAGGAGGTCAGAGCAAGCCAACTTGGACTGGATGGGCAAAGGACAACTCGACTCCTGGGCTTTGCCAAGGTGCCACACGCACAAAGCATTGTGCTTCAATGTTCCAACAGCAGCTTGGTCTCCAGAAAACACCTCTGATCTGGACATCGCGGAACAGCCAAGAATGGACCTTAAAACCGCACTTGCGTCGCAGGGTACCTATGTACCTTTGAGATGTCAAGCGGCAACTGCAGCCCTCTTGGCAAAGGCGTCCAGCAAGCCAGGGATTTGCCGCTACGATCTCACTCACCTGAATACTTGCTAGGCGCCAGACCGATCTCACGAGCAAGTTAATGAGAAGCCGGAATGCAGCAAACGCTGAACAAGTAGTGCGGTTTGCAGGTAGGCACCCGGTTTGCGAGGTACCGGTTCGGTGTCTCGATACCGTGATACAGAGTTACGGTGCAGATGGGTGGCACCAGCAGCAAGTTGGAGATGCTTGCCTTCCCAATGCTTGCTGACATGCTCTTCATGGCCATGCCTTTAGCATGTTTCCACGATGCCATTCAGAATCCAAGCTACCTCCATTTCGACATCAAGGTCAAGCCTTTTCCAGGATTTGTCTGGCCGCCATGGTCTACAAATCCCGGAAGGCAAGCCCCTGAAGCATGCCATGGCTCAAAGGGTCACGGCACTTTTGCTCTAAATTCTGCGGACATCTGGCAGGTGAATGTAGCAACGGAGCAGGGCAATAAACCTGTCTCTTCTAAGGTTTGCACTGCTGAGTGTGCCTCATCCGATTGGCCAACGGCAAGCTCAAAGCCATGACCTGCATCACCAAGTCATTGAAGCCTACTGGCCAACTACAACTACGATCCAGCCCCACCTCTTCGCCATCCCTCTCCGGGCCAGCTGCGGCCAGTGGCCACGAAAACAACATCCTTCAGATTTCACAGAACAAGCAGCCCTGCGGGAATGGATTATGCACATCATCATCTGCGAACTTAGGCAAGCTCATGGTCGGCCAGGAGCACCTGTTCCGAGCGAAATATCTGCTGAATCTCCTGGGACCGCAAGGGAGGCCTCGGGATCCTCGACGACCTTGCCCAAATGAATGGCACCAAAGCCAGCGGCAGCATACTTCTCGAACTCCTAGCGCAGCTGGCGGCGAGCACGGAAACTGTGCAAGCATGAGTAAGCCTTGTGCATCACATGGCGCAAAGGCTATGATTCCCCCAATGGCAAGAAACAGCGCTTTTCTTGAATGACTCTCTGTGCTGTCTGTTTAACAGTTGGAGGCAGCTCTGCCCTTAGCGGAGTCGATCGACACTGGCGGCTTTTGCTTGCCAGAAAAAAATACACATTCCTCTGCGCTTTGTGGCAAAACTCAGTCAGGCAATCCTCGGATACCGGGGAATTTGCCGTGACCGAGTTGTTGTTATTCGTCTCTGTAATGCTGCTGCTTGTGCAAAGAAGTGCAACACAACTCTGCGTTCAACATCAATGTTGACTCACAATGTGCACATCCTCCGACACCAACATGGACAGTGGCAAGTAGGAAAATGGCCACTGTGCGAATTCTTGATGGCTGCACCGCGCGACAAAACCCAACACAGCCGCCGAAGCGACAGAGCTGGCCAGGTGATGTGGAAGATCGCGACTGGAACGATACCAAACTGTACCTACAGCCCTTGCACGGGGGCGCTAAGCGAATCCCCTGTCATCGAATTAGTGCCGAGGGTTAGCTTTATTCCTGCCTGTACAAGCCGGCAAGGCCATCGTATGCCTTTAGATGCGACCCTTCATTAATGCTTCAAGGCCTTTGAAGCATTGATTGATGTTTGCCATGATGTTTTCGTGATTCTGCTGCATCTTCTTAATGTTTCTTCGCGACCGATCCTCTTGCGACCTTGCGCGACGTCCGCATTTTTGTGGGAGCAGGTTCAGGTCCGTATCGCATTCAACGCCCACATAGGCAATCTCAGGCTTTTCAAAGAATTTCACCTCAGTTGCCCGCAGGCGCAGATGGCACGTGACATCATCCACCATCTTTCTGGCACAATAACAGCCAGGAGGCCCGTCTTTTCCCAATGCTGCTCGCGTTGGCAGAACTCACCTGCATCTTGGGATGTGTGTTCGCACCCCATGTACGATTATGCACTTCTCTTCGATTCCATCTCGCCTGTGAAAAGTCAGTGTTCGTGCTCTCCAGATCATCATCCTTCCGTCCACTTGTTCCATCATCGGGAACCTCACCAATTCTAAACTGTGCATGTCCCAGTGTATGGGGCTAAAAATGCATGCACGAGCTTATTGTGCTCTTAACCAAGCAGCTGAAGGTCGAAGGGGCCTTTCACAGACGGCGCGGCTGAGCCGACTCTCAGGATAAATCAAAGCCTCGGCCCCAAACATTCAAAGGATTCCAGAGGAGGTGGCGGGAACGAAGTCAATGATCTTCTTGTATAACATCTGGGGGATGTAGTATACCCATTTGAATACAAAATACAACCCCTATATATCCCTACACAATCATCCAAGCTTTCATTTCATTTTCCATGTTCTTTTCCATTTGATTCCCTTCTTCAACCAATATACTCCTATTTTTGCGCCCACTGCACAACCCCCGAGTTTCCATTTCATTTTGCATGTGATTCTCCCTTTTCATTAATATCTCGCAGAGAATCCTGTGTGCCCTTAAACAGGGGGTCCTCAATATAGACCCCCATATACTGTAATCCTCATTTCCCAAGAGGGGATTCCTAATAATTTTCGGAAACCCCAAAGTAAGTCCAAGGAGCTGGGCCAGCCTCGAGAATCTCACTTCTTGCATGTCGCCGTCGCGGTGAGCAAGACGAGCTTCGGTAAACGTAATGCCGGGCATCACAGCCGTACTTCCTGACAACGCAGCTCTTGTCACGACTGTTGACAAGAGTTTGTCTTTTGGTTGTGAGGTGACACCTCAGAGTGAGTTACAATCTACCCAACCTCAGAAGGTCGGAGCAGGACAAGCTGCTTCGTATGTTGAAGATGGACTGAGAGTGCTAAGACCTCCCATATGATTCACAATGGTAGGCCAAGAAGTTACTCTGCCAAGCATCCGGAAGTGAGAGCACGACTCGCCCGAGACACTCATTGCCACAACACGCAGCACTTGGATCCAAAGTGGCTGTCACGGGTGAGCGCGCGCGGAATGAATTAGCTGGAGCTTTGTTTCAAGTTTCAAGTAGATTGAATGCTGTCCAGCTTGTCCAATGAAACCCATTCCTTGCTGCAAGAGTCCTGACGCAGAACAGACTCGATCAGGTTAATGGAGCAAGTCGGAGCGAAGCCTCCGGACAGCGATGCAGTTTGGAGCGGGAGCAGCGACAACTGGCTTGTAGGCACCCTGCAATGACGCGCACTTAGCTCCTTGTCGGACAGAATGCGGCTGTTTAGTGAATCCTCCCAGGGCATATGCTTCAGCTCACCTAGGACAGGTCCATGAAGCTTTGTCCTGCGAGGCATTTGACATAGCCAGGACAATGCGGCCTTCATGTGGCTTGAGCCCAATCCAATCATGCTCGCTCTGCTTGCATAATTCTCACGTCTGTAGGTATTTACGCTCTAGGCATTTTCTTCTTGCTAATCAGGAACGTGATCCCCAACCACCGTCGTCAGCTCGGCGTTCAAAGACCTACAGCACTTCAGTCTCAGAACATCAAAACGCAGCATAAAGGCCAGGGGACGTTGATCTCCGGTGCACCGGGAAGACGAGTAATGCGAAAGCCAGAGGATGTGGAAAACAGCCGCGCGTGTGCGCGGGCCAGGAGAACAGCCACCCAGAGCCCAACAGGGCCGGCTCCAACAATTGCCACCCGAATGCTCAAAGCGTCATTCGTGCCGCTTAACGGTGAGGAAGCTGGAGACCGTGAAGCTTGCATGGGCGCAATGGCCCTTTGCTTGCGCGAGGTTGAGTTGGGGCTGCCACTTGCTGGGGAGGAAGCTGTGTGGAAGTTATCCACTTCGATCGCTGCCTGAAGGGCTTGCTCTGGCCCTGGCCTCTGCCAAAGCCAATTTCGGTCAGTTGGCTGATTCGGATTCGCCCTCGCCGGCTCGCACACCGACTTACAAGCCTCACGTCGTAAGTCGGAGTCTGACCGGCATGGCCTTGCCAGTTGACGTTGCCATTCTGGTGGGAATGCGCAAGCACTGACAGGAGTTTTCCAGCTGCGCAAAGGCGACGCCGCTTCATTTTCTGGCACAAGGCTTGCCTTGGTCGGCGCCTGGCCCATTTGCAGTGTCCATACGTCTGGGCGCCGATGTCGGGCATCAGATGCGTGAATTGCCCAGACATTGCTGCCTTTTGCTACGATGAGAGGCGACTGAGTTTCTTGTGCCGGCGCTCCAGGCTTACTCTTGGACAGCGTTGGGCACGAACCTGACCTGGAAATGGAAGTGCGCTGTCGAAAGGGGCTCTGCGCATGGAACGGATGCAATGGAAGCATCACCACCAGCTGCAGAACCTTTCATAGCTCAGTCAAGCTGAAACTGATGCGTGCACTCCCAGATTGGAGGAACGCTGACCAAGTCCATGGCAGCATACATACTGGTGAGAGCGTGGCTGGACTGTTAAACGTGCCCTGGCTGGGGTTTGCAATGCAACTTCAACAGCTACAATTTTTGAATGTAGAGCACTGCTACGCCTGAAGACAGCCGGGATGATGCAGTAGCGGATCAGCTTGTCACAGGTCAAGCTCTTAGCAGTGGGAGACACGGTCAGCTGGGCGCACTTTGGCAAAGAGAGATCGGATGCGTCATCCAATCTGAATGCGACATCTTGCGATCTGCCAGGTTGCGGCAGAAAGAATGTCTGCGTTATGTGCACACATACACAGGCATGTGCATCGTACTGCCTTGAGACTGCCAATGACGAAGAATGGCCATGGCGCGATTCACCTTGCAACTCCGCAAGGACTCGGGCCAACATGTGTCTCACAATTGAAGCAACAAGCAGCTGGCAATTGCTTGCGTCCGCCGCATCCTCCTTCTTCATGCAGCAGACGCGGTGACACAGGACAGGTACATGAACATCTTAAAGTTACCTCGAGGCTTGACGATTTCGCCAGCAGGTCAGCGACGGGAGCGTCCTGTTTCGCTATGGGTGTGGCTGCACTGGAGAGACATGCAGGTCTCCAAGGGTTGCGATAATCAAGGCCTTGAAAGTACACTGCCTGCCTCTAGCTACTGCACGCACCTTTTTGCCAGTTGACGAAACAACTCGTCTTTCAGGTACAGAACTTGGGCAGGTGTTGCGCAGCAGTTTTCTTGAAGCAGTGTCCTGTTCTGCTCTTCCTCCTCACATCATACGTCATACGCTTTGACACAACACCTGCACCTGCGTCCAGTACCTACCCACCCCCCAACAATGATCCCCATCCGTGCAATGCTCTCCCCTGCATCACTGCCAGAGCCGTTCAACCTCGCAAATCTCACAGGACCAATCTGCCACTTGATGACAAAACTTGAACGCACCCACCAACAAAGGCTCCGGCTACGTCGACCCCTGTGACCTCGCCTGCGTACACACGCAAGGCAACTTGCTGACACGTCACTTAACACATGGGCGATGATGTACGCCTTGGCATTCTTGCCCTTGGCTTTTGCTTTTGCCTTGGCTTTCGCCTGAGACTTGACCTGAGAACATGAGACCATGCAAACCGAGCAAAGGATCCCTGTCATGATCGAATCTAGCACAGAGCGGTCGGCTTTAACGAGCGCATCTGCAGCCGCATCCGGCTCCTCAGTGGGTTCGACCTGCACGGCGCTCTCAGCCTTATACGAAAGACTTGCGCTTTTCAAGGTCACCAATGTTGCCTCAGCGTCCACGTCTTCGCTGCCTGTGCCCACTGGACTTGTCTCAAGTCCAAAGTCGGATTTGGAGCAGCTCAGGACCATGGCCTGCTCCTGTAGGATCATCCTCGCTTCGCGTCTCGTGCCTGCCTGAGTGGTTCCACTGAGCTACTCGCTGCTTTGAGATTCGCAGGTTACTCAAGTCTGGGTGAACGGCGCTTTGCAGTTGGAAGAACCTGGCCATGTAATCGGAACTATACTACGCTCCGCACGTCTCAGGTTCTTGACATGCCTAGGAATGACTGGGCGAGTCTTCTATTGCCGCTTACTCCTGCCACCCTTTCTTTCAGGTCTGTTCTTTGCAGGATGCTGATTTTGATATGCCACGGCACTCCATGAGATTCTTGCCTGGTAGAGGCAGAGTTTCTTATTTCAAGACTGCCGCAGGGCCAACAGCCTCTAAACTGCCTTTTTCCACCAGCAGTCTGCAGCTTCCTCAAGGAAAGCCAATATAGCTGAGTAGGCTCCTGAAGATTCGAGTACAAACGCTCGATGGAGCCTGTAAGCCTTCTGGCACCTCAGCTGTCAAGGTACAGAAACCTTACCTTGCTTGATGTCAATTGATAATGATAGAGGCCGCAAGGCCACTTTCGAGCCAGACTGGCCTCAAAACAACTGGGACATAAGAAAGAGCTTGCCAGTCAGGGCTGCTTGGCTAGCGCCCCTTGGCCTTACAGACAAAATCTGCAGGCTTTTCCCTCTTGGGCGCATTGCAGTGTTCATCCTCGCCTGATTCTTCACGCCGTTGATCTTCGACGACACCCATTCAGGATCTCCAAGGTAGACACCGCCTCATTGTGAAACTTGATGGAAAGACGCGTGTTGTTGATTGAGGCGCAAGCAACGAGTTTTAATCTGCTACCAGCCTACTCACAGAAAGGTGGATCATTGATGTAACCATCATGGTGAAGCAGCACCGGGCCGTGTGAGGCTGCTGCGGCTTCTTGCTAAGGACATGGCTCAAACCTTCGGCATGTCCTGGAAGCTCGACCTGACTTCTCCCCCTTTTGTACTTGCGCAGAAGCTTTGCAGGACAGTGCTGATCTCAGGACAGAACTGGCTTCAGTTGCCGGTTCAATCGGTAGACTAGTGGCACCTTCGGATACACAGTGCTTCTGTCCGGGGGTGATGCTCAGCTGCTGATGTTGGGCAAGCACCCCCGTCGGGATGTTGAGGCCGACGATCTTATCCTATAAGGGAAACAGGTCGACGTGTGCAGAAATGATCCCACTGCATGGACCGAAAGCTTCTCAAAAGGCCTCGCGCACGTTATCTAGATATTTGACGAGAGCTCTCAGCGAGTTGCCATGAGCAGCGATTAGCACCTTCTGTCATGGCATACAGGAGGCTAAAACCAGTTGGACAGCTCTCGCAAGGTAGCCAGGCAGCCTTCTTGCCCTTGTGTAGCTGGGGTGCAATATTCTGCCTGCATCCAGATAGGCTGTATACCCCAGCGGCAGCCACTACGCATCACAAGCCTCCAGAAGGGCAAGACTCTCTGTATGGTGAGGGCCAAGGACCTGCATTGCCAAGGCTGGCTCAAGAAGTCTCCTTCATCTGCCAACAGGCTGGGTGCACTCTGCCAGTGGCAGCTTCTTCTTGGGAATGTCTTTGTACTTGGGATCCTAAAGTCCGGATCACTGACAGTATTGCAAAGCCTCGCAAGGACTCTGCTCAGGGCGAGTCCAGCTTTGGATGGTAAGGACTGTCATCCTCGCTGATGGAGATTGCTGCAGATCGCAAAGCCGTTGCTGGTGCAGCTCAGGCCTTGATGGGAGGAGGCGGCTCTGAGAAGGAGCGGCGCCACTGAGTCACCTGAAAGCATCTGAAGCAACCCGGCTGCAGTGACGTTCTACTCTGCTACAGGCCACCGCCTGCTCCTCGCCGAACTTGTTGGTGGTCTCGGCCTTGTTGAGGCCTTGTAGGTCACCATACCTTCGCGTGGCTATCAAAGTGCTTTCCCCAAGCTCTGCACTAGTGTCCAGATACACGCGCACATGCGCTCATTGAGCTTCCAGGACTTGAAGACAGGAATCCATAAGCAATCCATCTCCTGCCCGACTGCATGTGCGCCACTCTGCTGCAACATTGGAAAGCAGACTGTGGTGTCTCTAAATTTCTCCTCCAGTGCTAGATTCAGCGTTTTGATGGCCCTCTTCTGGTAAGATGTAAAGGCAACATCTACACCTGAGAGGAGTTGCGACAGCTCAAAGCGACGTCAGAAGACCACCATGCATGAGGTGATGACTGACATTGGCGTCATGCAGCAGCTTTCCCGCATTTGTCGCTTCTTGGGCACCCTTGGGCGAAACGTCCACATCTACCCAGCCTGCCACTTGGTAGCATGCAAGTCTTCAGTTGTGCATTTGATGGCCACATAGAGAAAAGACTGCAGTAGGGTCGGTCAGAGAGGCCGAACGTGGACATGCTAATGAACAGCCACTCAAAGAATTCCGAGCCTGTGAAGCGGTTTTGCAGGTTCCACTCTGACCTTCCCATGGGCTGTAGGAAGCATAAATAGCTTTGAAGTGCACCTGAGATGCCAGCTCTCCATGCCGCAGCAGCACCAACGTATGTTCTCCATAACCCTGATGTGATGGGATATCACACGAGCAGCCCTCTTTGAACTATTTTACTTCACTGGCTGCACATAGCCTCCAGCTCAGACATGTCCGCATCTGCCGGGGAAAAGCCTGCGCTTACGCACAGCAAGGTCGACCATCCTAAGGTGCTGTCGCTTGAGCTTCGGGCATAGGAGGCCGATAGCAGTAGTCACCACAGCAGCCTTACTCACGACGAAAAGACAGGGCGAGCGAGACAGCAGGATTTCTTGGATTGCTTGGGCACCCACGGTGACAGTCCCTGCGAGACTGAGCCGTCGCTTCCGGCGCTCCTCTAGATTGGGAGTCTCATGGAGTCTCTAAAGTCTTGCATAGTCTTGCGGACTACTTTGAACTCGATTTGAAGATGCCAAGCTTAAAAGCTGGAAGGCGGTCCTTTGGCAACATTGGTGGCATCCGCTTTGTCTGAGCACCTCAATAAGGCAGCAACGCGACACGTACCCGGGAAAGCCCCAGGCGCTGCTACTACTACTACTACTACTACTGCTACTACTACCCTGCATGGATCCAGGTCAAAGCTTAGGCACTAAACAGGCGCTGCCTTTCTGTTCAACTCAAGAAAAGAATCGGGCCGAAACAGCAACGGCAAACATGACCCAAACAGCAGTTGTCGATACTTGTCGGAGGGGCTTGCTAAACTCCGCCGGCCAGACCTTTATGGCATGGCGGCCAGAATTTAACGTGCGGGTCAATGTAGCCTTAACCTCCAAGATTGACACTCCAGTAGCAAAGCGCAGCAGCGTGAGAAAGAGGCGTCTTAAGGGGCTTGCCTTGGCATCGACTTGCTTGAAGAGGTCCTGCATGCTTTTTGGCAGTGACAATACTCCTCAAGTCGGCGTCGAACTCTTTTGAAGACGGACTCCTGGCAGCCCAGCGGCTGCCTCAACTCTGTCAGATGCCTGGCGAATACTGGGAGCCATCTCAAAGCTTGCTTTCCTTCCTGTACACGGTTGCAGGGCAGCAGGCTTGCTGGTAAGACAATCTGGCCGTGGCTGCTCCACCACATGCTCCTTCCCAAGGCCATACGCATCCAGAAGCGTCACCTCAAAGGCTCACAGCTGCAGGGCTGCGGGAGAATCAGATTCTGAGGGCACCACCACGCTCTGAACCTCCGCTCTCTGTAGAGGTTCAACCAAGCGCCTGGACAGCGCGCATGCTTCAGCGCAGCGTTTTCCAATAATGTTCCGCGTTTATCGTGGAAAAGCTTGGGCGCTTTGTTATGCTCAGAATGCTTCTTGGGCTGATGCCGCCACACAATGCTGCACGGTGTCGACAGCAAGGAGATGCAAGGAGCTGCTAGTCGACTGTAGCACTTTGCTGACACATTGATAAGTGTCGCGCTGAACAAGGGGTTGAAACTTATTGATCTTACAGCGCTTCCTAAGACTTGCTCTGCTTGATTCTAAGCAGCAAACTTTGTTTCAACAAGGGTTGCGCATTCTTGCTGCGACGCGCATTGCGGATCATTGCGGTGGGAGGCGGCTATTTGTCACAGAAAATGCAAGTGAACTGAGACCCACACCTGTACATCAGGTCGATGTACGAAGATGTCACCATGGCCTCTGGCGATGAGGATGCTCTGCTTACTTGCACGTCGGTTCTTCCAGCCCTGGGCCAACCTTTCGGTCTGCGGTCCCCGCCAAGCGTACGTGTGTCTGGCGGAGTGCATGTACTGATAGGCTTTTACGCGTGCTGTAGAGTCTTGGCCGCTGTCAGCACCGTTGAATTGCAAATGCAACATCAAGATCCTTTTCTGCTCAAAGCCTTCGGATCTACATGCTGCAGGATTTGCAGCTTGTAGATCCTGTAGCCTGCTTCAGGCTGGCCCTGGCAAGGTCTGATTGTGGATATTGATGACCTGGATGACTCCGTCGCCGCCCGCAGCCGCTAACATGTCCCCAGCCTTGGCGCGAGACTTTGTAGCGTTACATGCCAGAATAAACGTGATGATTCGTCTCTGCCCTGCTCTCTGATTTTGATGCTGGCATCTCGATAGTCTCACCATGCTCATACCCCCACTTTGCGTTTAAGGCCTAGATACACATCCTGAGTTCCAAGCATTTGAAAAGTCCACGCAGTAGCATGCCTGCGTGAAACTGGAGATCTTGCCGAAGGATTCCTTGGCTGAGGGGCTTCTGGCAATAGATGACTTTCTGCGCCACAACAGCCTCCCCGTCTTTCCACTTGAATTGCTGCAAGTACTGACTTGTCCAAGGAGCTGTCTCAGCACGTCCGGGTCGCTGGAACACCTAGCTTCAGAAAGGGTGGCCAACTTGAGGACAAGCAAACGATGACGTCGTACCTTGACCTCATAGTTGCCACTGCCACCCGCTGCAATCATGCTTGAGGCCTCGTCCTGCTCTGACATGTTGTGCATGTGTATACTTTCATATTAAGCTTTTTTCACAACAGGTATCAGAATCTACGAAATGTGCTCTCCCCTTGGCTTGGGAAGGAGTCCTTGCTGAACTGGGCGGCATAGATCATGCAAGACCTCTGGTTGGTTGTTGCACGAGCATCCACTCTGGTTGGTTGTCCAGAGCCAATCGTTCAAATTATGTCGCAGGAAGCGCTTCGGTGGAACTGATTCCATCCAAGCTTCCCGTCTCCTCTACTTATACGCTTGCTGCCAGTCCTTTTGAGCCGCGTGTTTTGTCAAACTGCCTATGCAGATCAACAGTTGATGTCACTTGTCGGCGGGGACAGAACCTCCTACAAATCTCACACCTGATCAATCCGCCCCCGCATGGATCAACAAAAAACCGTACACGGTCAGAAGCGTAATTGCATGTAATCGCGAAATACCCATATATATGTATACATATCCCTAACCTCATAAAGCCCCGAATGTACAATTATGTATCCTGTTTTCTGTAGAACCCCATATACACGTCTCCTCAAATGGGTACCCGCAAGCTTAGGACGTGGCGGGCTGTTTGAAGGCAGGGTGGCCAGGAGTCGTTCCATCCTGGTAGCCCCGACCCAGGGTTTCTGTACCCATTCAACTAATATTAGGGTTATAGGGTTATATTGGGGGTATATAATATATATATATATATCGTACATAAAAGATTGTAGTAGATGATAGATTATAGTAGATTACAAAGACCCTAGCCTCTGAATCCTTAAGCAATCCCTACACCCCTTTCGACCCCTGAAGTTCCTTAATGTTCCTTAAATCCTCCACAAACGAATGGGAGCGCTCCTGAAGTCCCAGAGCTGAAGCTGATCCTGGATTCGCCTCAAGTCCATTGCAGATTCTATGCTATAATATACTATAATCTACAATAATATACTACAATATTCTATTTCCTTCTGTTTCTGCATCGTCCCTGGCCGCCAAGCTGCCAGGAGCCCGTAAGCAAAGTTTCTCCATCCTGCATGTGGGCCGTCATGAGTTACCAAAGGCAGAAGAATTGAGAGCGCTGGTCGAATCTGAAACCATCGGACCCTGCCCCCGGCTGTCTTGACAAATGTCCAGGGCATCACCGCAAATATGCGGCCCTCCAATTTCCTGAGCTTGGACATGAGTCTTCGGTCCCATGCCCTGCCCTGGCATGTAACTAACCCGTAAACCGGGCGAGACGCACGAACCGCGCGGCCTTGGCGCACATCCCAAATTTGAACGGAGCTGTCCCAACCTCCACTTACAACCACCTCAGCTCACGTGTGTGCTTCAGCAAACCGCCCATGCCGCAGCACCAAACACAGCGACGGGGCTGAGTGCGCAGCATGACGCATGAGGGGGTGATACTTCAGCGAGAAAACGCGATTTGATGGACCGACGGTGTTTACGTCATCTCCACCTGACTGAGTATCAAACTTTGTCAGGACGATCGCAGGAAACAGCTTCGAGCCTCGCATCAGCTGAACGAGCTTCTTTGTGGACCTGACTCACGCAAGCAGCAAAGGACTCTTAACGCCTTTTGCGCAGGAAGATTTCAGCTAGGACGCTCATCGTAAATCCGAATATGACGCTGTTTGCCAGCAGTCGCAAATTGAGTGCCATCATAGAGAAAATCCAAGCCTTGTCTGTCAGAATCGCAGAATTGTTCATGTTCGTTCCTGCTGCATCTCGCATCCTCTTCTCAAGAGGACTCGGATCGGCCCCAGCTGGCTCAAACATTGATCGCTGTCACAGGCAGGAAAGATCCCGAGAATGCTGCCGGGTTGCAAAAGAGCTGATTCTCGGGCTCGGTGATCCTGAGCTTTGCTATACCAGCATTTCTCGCATTGGGCTTGGCTCCGGCAGCGAGGCATTCAGAGGTTCCCACAACGATCTACTGGTTCTCCTCCTTTCACCCCCTCCGAAAATCCCAAGCCCCAGGCCCCGCTCAGTGGTGCTCCAGATAAGAACACGCTTCTCTTGTTCTCTATCGTTCTCGCAGGGCTCTAGGAGTTGTTGCTTTTACACACCTTGCCATCTCCCCCTAACCGGCAGCCAGCAGCCTTGTCCTATGTGGACAGTATCAGTAGATTCTAGACGGGTTCCCTTTTTGGGGGCCAGGCCCCTAGCCAATGGCCATAGGCCCACCTGGCACACCAAGCCTTAAAAGATTCAGGCTGGGGATCCAAGCGCTCCTAGATGCTCCCAGGCTGGCTATTTTAGAAAAAAAACACAGAAACCCACTCAGACCGTGTTTGCTCTCTATAAAATCTAGCCTAGACGACCCAGACGACCCTGTAACCAGCGAAGTGCTAGTTCTTTTAACATCTCCTGAAAGCATCCTCAAACTCCATTGCATTCATGTTGTCACATAAACCTTTGCCAAAGGGTCTCATGCATCTGCTTGCCAGAGAAGGCATGCCAATGCGTAATCTTTCCATCGGCTCCCACGGAAACCTCTTCTTGCTGCGTAGTGTTGTCAAATCTGATTCTGCAGCATGTGCATGCAGACCGCGGTCAAGACACAAGGATGGACTTTGTGTTGCCTCAGAGTAGGCTGCTGAGTAATCCGAAGAGACCCACAACAGACCAAGCTGTGCCGCATACATCACAGAAAGAAACTGCATTCAAGAGTCCAAAGCACTCTGGCCGCCATCTCACTTGCGTCACCGGCAGTCCAATATCCTGCCGCAAACCGGGCATACATCTTGCAGTGACCTGCAACAGGTGTCTATGCAGTTCCTCGGATTTGCCGCCGGCGAGCTTGAATGCCAACCTTGTCTGACAATCAAAGCTTTGATATTGGCGCTACGCAAGATCAAAGCCAGTCTGGAAGAAAATCGCTACACTGCGAAGACTGATCCGAGGCACTGGGAGGTGCGCGTGTTATATACGTGGACGAACCCATTCCTGAGTTGACATCTGGTGCAGTACTGGATTGCAACGCAAACTGGCTATTAGTAGGGAATAAGGGAATATCACCCCTATTTAGACCCTATAAAGTATATTCCCCTATTTTCTACTATAAACCCAAAATAGAACCTATTATAAAGTAGTTTCCGTTTTCTCTTCTATTATCCCTATATAATCCCAGTATGTTCCCTTATTCCTACTAAGAACCAGTAAGCAAAGGCTGCCAGGATGACCCGCAAGCTGCCAGGTAGAGGTCGTCAGGAGCAAACCTCAGCTCAACTGCGGCTTACAGCTTTTGACTTCTTGTGACTTTCCTGACATCTTCTGCCTGCCAAGGGACCGAATGCAGAAGATTTCCTTTTTTCCATCGCCCAGGGCAAACCTCACATACCCCATGTGGCACGCGAACGCTTCGCCTTCAATGCAACCTGGGCACTTGTGCGAGGTTTTCGGCTGCATTGCAGGCTGGAAGGCTGTCTGGCCATTGTCCGCTTGCAGGCTCGGAGCATGAGTTCTCCAATCCCCAGCGAGGCTGAAGGGTTGTGAACCGTGATAAATGCAATGCTATGACACTGCTTTGGTCACAAGGTGCCCGTAGTAGATTTCTGCAGATGTGCATGTTACCGATTTTCTTTGGGCTTCCATTTGCAAGCCTCTTTGAGCCCGGATGCCAGACTTTCGAAGATTCGTGCTACGTACTCCAAAGACAAACAGAAACTGCAGCAGCTTGCCGCCTGAAGCTCCGCAACGAGCCGCCTGCTAGACTTCCAGGCACAAGAATGAGAAGAGCACTGCATATAGTGGAACTTGCGTAACACCTATTCAAGGAGCACCGCCTGGACTTGGACATGGACGACATCTTTCCCATGATGGCAGGGAAGGCGGGGTAGCCCTTACAGCCACAGACTCGTCAACTAAGCGCTATTGCTCCAAGTCTTTTTTTTGGCTGTGAAAGCTGCCAGTTCACTAAGCTCTGTGCAAGGCTGCCCCTCGTAACAAAGCTTGGGAAAGCACAAGAAACTGCCTCACCGCGGCTGCAGTTTTGACTGCTTTGATTTGTTACTCATGCTTCGTCCCTCTGCGAATACCATCTTGACATCGCTGTATGGAACGTACTTTCCTGCTCGAACTGTGCTGAGCAAGGCGCCGCACAGTGTGGTAGCAGGCTCCACTCCTCGGGAGACCGAGAAGATCTACACGCTCAACAACTCGAGCTTGTCATCACACCTGTTCAACGGCCATGCGCTGGTTCATGATGTCGCCTGGGCGCCAGCAGTCCAACCATGTGAATGCAGTTCTTGCTTAGCACCATGAAAACCCATCGAATTACGGCTTTTCTGGGTGTCCTGCCTATCGTCATGAGATCCGCTGAATAGGCACATCTGTTGAGTATGTCAGCACTGACCTTCACAACCCAAGGCCACCATCGAGAAGATTGTATCTCTTGCAGGGCGCCCGGCAGGCTGTCTCTCAAGTGAACGTAGATAATTCTCCTGCACCAGCCTGAAGACCAGAGCACAGATCTCACCATGGACCATGTCACCAAGAACTGCCAAAAAAAACCAGGCTGCTTAACTCGAACATTCTGCTATCACCGCTTGGACATGCCATGCGGGTCTGAATTCTGGGCGACCAACATGCTGACAAGGGAGTGATCCACGAAAAACCTCTGGCCAGCGCTACAGGTGAGAGGCGGAAGCGAGACACCACTTGGCACTCGGTACTGGGATCCCAGCATCTCGAAACGAGCATCAAAGGTATGAACATTCGCCTTTCATTGAGGAACTCGAAGTGGCTCGATGACTGCACCACTAAAGCATTGGCCTCTGACGATGTCAACAGCTTCCGACACCTCTAGTTCATCATGAATTCTGCCGTGGTCCCAACTACAGGCAGCCATCATGGCCAGGCACACGTCGAAGGGGCTCAGCATCACTGCTTGATCCTTGCCTTGCTGAACTGAGAGCCCACCATGACTAATAGCGCAATGCAAAGGCTCTCCAAACCCTGCGTGCTGCTGGGTTGCCGTATCGACCCAGGTTCTCTGCCAAGTCGGAGCAGCTGCAAAGTGCATACAAAGACTGGGGAGTTTCCCAGAAAGGACTCACTCTCAAGTGATCTTGATCCCTCATCTTGTTGCCACGCCGGCAGGCCTCATCGTTCTCGGGGAAGCGTTGCTGGCCGCCATCATCTGCAAATGGTTCAGAACCTGGGTCGGACACGAACTCAGGCGGAGGACAGCAGTTTCCTTCTTGAGGCAGTTGCCACACGTACGTCGTTACCACAGGATTCAACGATTGCCTGGTACAGAAGGCACGTGATGCGCCACGTTAGGCCGAATGGCCCAGTGCTGCGCCTCCAAACGAGCCATGTCCACCTGGAGGCCTTGCTGCCTGCAACGTGATCGAAATACGTGGACTCATCAATCAGTTCCAGTTGGCTCAGAGGCCATGTTTGCATGACACCCACCTTGCGATCTGCGCGCACCTCTGCGCTATTGCAGGTCTTGGAGGCCTTGCGGAGCATCATCTTGCCCAAACTTCCACAAGGTTCCGGCAAGTTGCTCCTGGTGAACTTCACGTCGTAGCAGCTGGAGGCCAAGGATCGAACCTCTGCAAACAGGCGCAGCAATTCATCATTCCTGTATCTTCACGAGGCGTCATGCCTGCTGGGTATGCTGGTCATTGCAAATGCAAATGATGGGGTTTCGAGTCCTGACGCGAGTGCATGCAAGATGGCAGCACATTCATGGTTCCAGCATCATCAGCAATACGGCCTCTTGATCATCTTGATCAGAGCAGCAATGCCACCCTTGTCACCACCACCTCAAGATTGACGTGCAAAGCGAGCAATCTGAAATGATCTCCTTAAATCCTTTAAACCACACAAGTATGTAATCCCAGTTCTCATTTCATGTTTCATGTTGTTTCCATTGGATTCTCCATTATTCTTAGGAATCTGCAGGCCGAGGCCGGAGCCCATGCCATCAACCTCATCCATGATGATCACCACCTTCCTGTAAGCGACACGCTTTGCGGCAGAATGGGCGCCTGCAAACTGTGAGAAGTCACAAGCCTCTTGCCCTGCCGACCACCTGACCCCGGAGCGCTGTATGATCAACATTTTATGAGTGAGAGCTGCCATCGCCTTGGAATGAAATGGTGGTGTTCTCAGCGATTCCGTCTGCCATTTCCTGAAGTCAAGTCTTCGCTACAATCAACAGACGCTGAAAAAAGCAGTTCAGTCCGGAACAGCCATAGTCAATATCGTCAATCTGACTGCCACCAAGGCACCTGGATGACCTTCTGTCCTCTTGCATCTGATGCGTTGTACTCCAGCACCTGTCATACAGCAACTTGCAGCCAAGCCCATGCTTTGAAGCGGGGCCTCGTATCGACCATGTAGCTGGGCCACCAGACGGCAGCTAGTGGTCTTGCCAACTCCTGGTGGCCCACTTACCTTTGCCCAACAAAAACTCTCTCCCTTCGACACGGTATTGCAAGCTGAGTGCTGGGCCAACGCTGCTTTGGCCTCTTCAGTTGTAATCAAGTTGTGTATCTTCGCAGACTCCATTCACAAGAAGAAGCTGGGGCATGTCACGTTCAGGTTGTCAGGAGCGCTTCCATGCTGAAAGGCAAGCTTCTTGCTCTTGCCCCGAAAAACCACGTCTTCCCAGTCTTGCAGCCAGCACGTTAGCTTTCGAATGGCAGGCTGATTCCCCACCAGGTCATCCAGCTTGCTAGGGGAGAAGCTGTCGACCCAATTGCGCCCTCTAGGACCCTTGTCTTGTCGAGCAGGCCTGGTCTCAGGAACAGGACGTTGCTCAGTCTTTAGCGTAGCCTGCTTGACGTTCTGTGAAGCAGCGCCAGGTAATATGCTAAGAAAGGCTGCCTCTGCAAGCACTTTTGCATGGACTTTGCCTTTGGCTTCCAGGTCCTTGAATCTCTGGTATTTTGCCGACTCGTTTGCGGACTTTCCATCCAGTCCGTTACCTCCAAGAACTAAGATGGACGTGCGCTGCGAAACAGCTGCCCCAACTTTTGCACCAGCTGCTAGCAGTCTCGCCTCAGCCTCTGCTTGGGGTATGGTGGTAAGCTCAGTTGCAAAGCAGACCGTCACTCCGCTCCAGTCAGAACCAGATGGCAACGCTATCATGTTGCGGATAGGGGTTGCTGCTGGAACAATGGGCATGGGTTGAGGCATGGGAGGAGGGTCAACCTTTTCGAGCTTCCTGACCTTAGCAGCGGGCTCTAGGCCAGCAACTTCAGTGGAAAACGCTGGTGCCTGAACATCTTGAACTATTGTGGGCTTGCTCGCTGATGATGTCTCGCTTGGAGTCTTTGTCCCAGAAAAATTGAATCGCGCACGGCTGACGCGCTGGGTTCTGGCTGGCAAGCCAGTCATAAGAGCGCAGTTGCAGACAGGCCATTCACGGCTGAATAGACCACAATTTTGCTGTCTTGGAAACAAATTTAAAGAGTTGTTACTCCGGCTGCCGGCACTTTTGCACATCAGTATATTCAAGCTCCAAATGCAATCAGTAGGGTTTTGTTGTACTCAAGATCAGGGCACCTCCGGCTCATGATAAACAATCTATCAAAGCCCTTGCGGCTGCGGGACAGGTTCCGGGGCTGACAAGGACATCCTCGAAACTCACGATCGCAACATCTCATAACGAAGCTACCTATGCTACCCTAGGTCCGGAAGCATGTTCCAGCTCCTGGCTTGCAGGCTCCCGAAGCACAGGTGAGAGCCCACCTAGTGATCGAGCACCTGGCAGAAGCTCTCGGGCAAAAATCGCGCAGGTTCAAGATGCCTGCGCAAAACCCTGCGACCGGCAATGGTCAGTGCCTGATGTGGAGAGACCCGTCGCAGAAAGATCCCATGGCCTCTTGTCAAGCAATCTTTGTCCCTTGCAGCACTCATCTGCCAGCATCTTGCATGCATCTGAGTGGTTGTCGATGACAGTAACGAAGGCTCGTTTCCAACAACTTCTGCGACACTGCAAACCTGACAGACATGCCAAAAGAAACAGCGATTCTGCTACATCCAGCACGCCCAACCAGACATCCATGTACTGCAGGCGGAACGTTGAGAGCAGTGAAGTGAAGGTATCTCTTCTTTCTAGCGTTGGAAAACAAACGCCAAAAACGAGATACACACAAGGGAACGAGAGGTCTCAAAGGACATGCTGTCTTGCTCAGAGAGTCAAAACAGTTGTGCAAGCAACGATGCATCGTGTTACGACTAGGGCATGACTGTACAAGCGGACGAAAAGTGCAGACCAAGCTTTTGGACGAGGCAGCGCTGACATCTACGAATAGCTTGTGAGAGAATGTGTCCAAAGCGCCTTGTCTTCAGTCCAAACCAAGTCTTCTGCCACTGGCACAGTGGCCATTGCACCTGTGCAAAGGAATTGTTGCATGCAAGGAAAGGGGCTAAGGTCAGCTCTGAACCGTCCTCCAACAGTCACTGGTTCCACCTTGGAAATGCGTCAGCATCAGCATCAGCGGATTGTAAACTGGACGAATGCTGAGACGCAGTCTGGTGGGCCGCAGAACTGCGTGTGCCTTGCAAACGGCACTTCTTTCCGCTAACTCGACTACTCGAGAGAAGCTGTGCCTATCCAAAAGCTGGCCGCCTGCAAGGATTGGTGGGCGAGAGGCAAGCACGAAGTGACCCTACAAAGCTGGGTTGTCGTGCCTCCACCAGAACTGTGAGACTCCCTCCTTGAAAGATTTAGCACGGCACTCGGAGCCATCCGATTGCTGAAAATGTGCCTGGAAGGTGGCTGTGCTCGCTCCAGTTCCTCCTCAGTGAAACTGCTCCATCCGCGGCTCTCCGTTCTTGTCTTGGAGGAGTCCTCTTTCCGACCTCTTCGACAACCTCGAAGCAGACCTGAATGAGCCGCGTGTGCTGCTAAGGCCAATCTGCATGTGCATCTTCTTGAGGGCATTACCAGAACTGGTGCCTCGCACAAACTTCGCAGCGCCATCCAGCCTGAGTTCCCATAGTCATGAGGTCACACAGGGTGATACACCCCTGAGGAATCTGAGTATGCAACACTCGCGAAACTAGCTCAACAACACGGCCATCGGTTGGGCCTTGGTGCAGCGGGTTGATGGGGTAGAACCCATGACATATGTTGACCATCTTGAGCCCGGTGCGATCAGCGCCTTGTGCTTGGCCAGGAACCCGAGGCCTGAAGCTGCACAGTTCAGAGCTCAATGAAGCATCATCAATTGCCTTCATATTCTTGCACAGTTGGTATGGAAACGCTCCGAATCACCAGCTGGCATATCGCTTGAAACTGCACAGGAAATAACTAACTGCCATAGCTGCCCTATGCAAGCCTCTTGGCTCCAGGCGCACTTACGCACGCACTATCACGCCTGCCTGTTATGACACGGTGGCGTCGCTCGCGATGGATTGCCAGAAAAGCAGCTCCTGCCTTGTGCGGCACGCGCTTTCTGCAGCACACTATCCACCAGCTGCTCAGCAGTGGGAGCAGCAGCCTCGAACACTTCAACTCTTGCTCCCTGCCCTTCCAAACAAGAAGTGGCTGTCACAGGCTTTTTGACAGCTCCTGCTTAGCAGCAAAGCATGACTCCTCACACCCCTTTGGGCATGCTCGCCAACAAGCGAGAGCAAACTATCTCGCACATGGCAAGCTTTGTTGCACATGTCATTCTCTGACCCTCTCATAAGGCCCTCAAAGTTGCCATCAGAAGCTCTGGGCTCTGCGCAATCCTTAGCATGCGGACCACAGAAGCAAACTCCACCACAAGCAGCAGTACTGGTATGGGCCATCTAAGGCAAACTTGAAATCGCCCTGAGCTTCAGCATGAGTTCTCCATTCATGCAGCCGAAAGGTGGAGCTGTCAGAACACACTTTAGCTGTTGCTCCGAGCTGCCGCTGCGCCACGGCAAGGAAAGCTTGTGAGATCCTCGGAGGCATGACATGGATGTACTTCCAATGTGCCATATGTGACAGACAGCAACCCATGCTTTCTATTGACATCGAGGCACGGAGATGCTGCTTCGATTTTGCCATCATCGCCTGAGAAACGCTGCGCGCAGGCATTGGCTTGCTGAGCTGGCTCCAGAGCCTGATGGAGAGGATGGGCCGCCAGTGCTTGTTGGACCATCTTTACCTGATGAAAAGGCCTGCAAGCGACAGCAGCATGTTTCAGCTACTTAACAAAAATCAACCTGCTGCACACTGCATGGCGGGGGGGCTTCTGGCTGAGTCTATCTAGACTCTTGAATCACGAATCTGCATGTGCAACATGTCAAGATGAAAGATTGTGCATTGCTTCCTTGCCTCTTCTAGATTTGGCTGAGACAAGCCGGAGCCAGTCACACGAACAACTGGCGGAATACTTGGCGGACTTCCGGTTGCTGGCAGCGCCATCCAAGCTTGCAGGTCTGCAGCACCCACGGGACTGGGAGAATCGCAACGATCAATCGTCTTGCACCGCTTGTTGTCTGACTGCTGCCTCTGAAAAACACCAGGGCTGCCCTCGAGTAGGCGAAGCACACGGATGTAAGCAGCAGCTGTCTCAATGTTCAAACTGTCGATCATGGCTTCACAGACTGGTGGAATCAAATTCAGCACCTCGTAGCGGTGGGCCAATGCGAGAACACCCGGAAGCTGCTGTGGCGTCGAATCCAGCTCACCTGTATAGATGAAGCGCAACATGGCCAACAACTCAGCTGGTTCTGCATCGATATTCACAGATAAAGATAAGCCTTCAGTCATTCCACTTTGAAGCATGGCTTTGAAAACCGGCGAAGCCGCTGATAAGATGCAACTGTGTGCGCGGAGCGTCCCGCCGGAAACAGTGAAGACAAAATCACCATCTTCCCGTGAATGCCACAAGTTCGATACCAATCCTTTCACATGCTGGTCACGGATGTCCAATGCATCCGGCACCGTCAAGTTGATGTCCGGCCAACGCTGCTTCACGTCGGACTCTGCCACAGGAATCGGCATGGCTCGTAAATCATGCCTCCGTGCCTTCCATAATCATATGGCCTGACTCCTCACATGCCATCTTAGTGTGAATGTTGACAGATATTGAAAAGGTAGTCGTGGTTAGTGGAGCTACACGCCCCCTTCCTTGAGAGATCCATGTTGCAGTGCTCAATCATCTCAACCAGCAACGACGAAAATTAGTGCTAGCTACAGACCACGGCCTGCCATTGAATCAGACTTATCCGAGCTTAACATTCATGAAGTCCCTAGATTTGAAGAATCTGTTCTGGGCCATTTTGGGTATTCAGGAGCACTTTAAAGGCAGAGGCACTTTTTTGGCCAAATAAACTAGATTTACAGAAGCTTATTTCCAGACCCCAAAAAACACAATGAGGATGTTTAAGATTATCTTAAATTTTGATCTTCAATAAGTTCTTAATTGCTTTACAGATGTGTTTGCACAGCTTGTACTGCATTACTTATAATTATAAGATTCAAGAGCTCCCCTCAAAAGGCTTCAGGCTAATGTAAAGTGATGGGCATCGGAGAGTATTCAGGTGGGGGGCCCTTATTATTGCAGAGCTCGATTAAGCTTACCTCAGCCTCCATTTACAGAATGCCTTGTACTTGAATACAAAAACCACAGAGAAGCCAGCCATCATCCCTAACGCATCTCGCAACTGAGGTACGAAGAATAATATCGACCACGGATGACAGGCAAGTCTCAGTGCTCGACAAGCCGTGGCCGCGTTCCGAGAGCATCAGCTCTCGTGACGTTTGGCATAACGGCGCAACTCTGTAGCACAATCCTGAAGATGGCACTTACATTACAGCAATTACTCATTTCAAGGATCAAACCTATCCAACTCCCTTTCAGCATGCTGCATGTGCTTCGTCAACAGGCAACTTCGTAAACGGTTGGGAGCACACACCGAAATCCAACCTTCTTCTGGTCCAAATGAAATCTAACCCTCTACTGCCCTCTTCTGTAGCATGCCTGAATCTATGCACATGGAAATTCATCATCAACACGGCTACGGGATATGGGGCCATGGCAACAACTGTTTTGGCAGAGATGGGCTCGGTTGTTATGGCTTGTTGTCATAGAGTCACAGCAGCATGGCGGTTGCCCACCCGCCCATGAGGTTTGTGAAGGTTTGGCGCTTCGCGTCCAAATTCCAAATTGTCTGCATGCTGCTGCGCCACACGGCTGCAGGCAGTTTCTCTGCTCTTTTACTACCCCTTGCCTGTGAGCCAAGTAAATTTGCGGCAAGCGCTGCATGGACTTCAAAAGCCATACTCCACCGGGGTTGCCTTACCAGGGTGCCACAGGAGAACTCAAGGTACTGCACATCTCTACCCTCTTCAGGCTGTGAGACATCCCATACTAGAACGGAATAGGTAAGAACCAAGCAGACACTTCCGCTTGATTCCCCAATCGGATCATCAATATATTTGCTCTGAATCATCCTCCTCCTCTTCAATGCTGAAATTGCATGTAAGGAGTTCGGCTTCAGATCTTTGAGGACACTGCCTGATGGGATCACATGGGTCGATCAGCTCACCACCAACCTTGTCCTCACACAAAATCATGTGCTTCGGTTCACTACACCTGGGATGACATTTTGAAGGGGATTGCTTCACTAGCATCTTGCCGCTGTGGCTCGATGTTGAAAACCATGTAGGCAAAGCGCCGCGCATTCATCCAAATATTTGGCCAAAAGCCTAGTTCATTCTCGGGTTTCTCAAGATTACGGACCAGTTATCAGGCTTGCCCACAATGAGGATGCCCACATTATCTCAAGATTCCACGGGGAGATAGGGGACCCTACCCTAGGCAAGTACCCCTTTTCAGCGCTGCTACCATCCATGATGCGACGATAGCGTAGATTTCTCGGGCAGCTCCGGAGCAAGACGGAACCTTGCAAGTGCAGGACTTGCGTTTCAAAATGCTAGGAAGACACTCACAAGCCAGCCTGCCGCCAACAGCTTCTGCAGGCCCTCCGAGGGAAACCTTGTACTCAGGATTGCAGGTTTTTGCCTATCGGGCACCTGCAGCACATCCAAGGCCAGTGCCGCCGCACCTGCCAAACAGGACAATATTTTCTAGCAGTGATACTTTCGACTTTCTCCACTTCCACACTGTGATAGGTTTAGGAGCCCTATACAAAATCAAATCTTATGGCTTTATAGGGTGTATATAGGGATTATGACCTACATCAAACAAAAAGCGATTCAAAAGGACACGCCTGGGTTCTCGAAGCGGGGCAGTTCCGTCAAGACTGCTTTGGCTTCCAGGCCTTTGGACTTTTTTTGCAGCTGCTTGACTTTCACTACACACTCTAGTGAGCTCCTCAACTTCTTGGATCCTTCTTCCATTACTCATGATGACATGGATGACTTTAGTTTTTTGGGTTCTGACCCTGATTTTGTGAAATTCCTCAAGAGTCTGAGACTCGGGCCCATGCGCTCCAAGCGACTCTCCAAGGTCTGGTTATGCTTCAGCTGCTGACGATACTTGTCCTGCCACTCTGGATACCGGAAGTGCAGAGCTTAAAGCATGAGGTGCTTCACTAGACACGCCCAAGATCGCATGGGACATGATCTTTTGAGCGTGTGTGCAAGTTCATGGATCTTTGGAATGCGCATATTGATTTTCCGCGGCGTCTCCTGAGCAGATGCAACGTCTGCCTCAGATAGACATGACAATGGCAAGAATTCACATGTGAGATCCGGTAATTCCGGGAGAAGATCTGAGCCACGCTATGCGCTTGTTGATGTTTGAACACAAAGCCAGGCGTGCAGGCTTGATGAGACTGACGCACGAATTGAGTCCCAGCTGGGAATCCGACTTGCATCTGTTCCAGGACACTGAGCGCATCAGACTTCCACCTTGTGTTGTCAACTCTTCAATTTGCTTTTGCTATCCGCGGTCGCCAGATCGTTTCGAATCGAAGGCTTGCAGGACACGAAGAGAGGTGTGCGGAAAGCAGCAGCTCCCAAACTTACTAGCCGAAGCCTGGCTATGAGATCTGTGCACCATCACAATCCTGTAGCACTGGTGGATACACTTGCTGTTTCCCCTAAGTACCAGCCCAGCCTCTGAAGCAGCTCCAGCTCTTGATGCATCTGCAGAGCAGGAGACATCCATGCCCCCCTTGGCTCAGCTGCATGTTTGAGTCTGGCATCTTGTCGCATGTGGCATATTGGCACACGTCAGCTCAGGACATGGCTCTTCCATCTTCCTGGACGATGGGGCCTTGAAGGTCATGGCAAGAATGCTGTGTGGTGGCGTGGAGCGCACGCACAGGCCACCTCCGCTCGCCGGCTGCCAGCACTTTTTGCACGTCGCGCCTGTAGTATATCGTGTATTCAGGCTGTCTGCACACGAAAGCTGATGCTACGTCCTGCATGATGTCAGTGCTTCCTGAAAGAGCAACGTGTAAGTCGTAGGCAGGCTTGCGGGGAGGGGCTCCTGCTCCCAGCATCAGTTGTCATCAGCTCAGCTCCACCCTGTCTAGATATAACTTTAGATTTAAGAAGCTTGGATGCCTGGGCAAACGCAAATCAAGTCTTCTGGCTTGTGTGGATGCAGCAACACTCCTGTAGACTCCCGGACAGATGCGAGCTCGCGTGCCTTAAGTAAGTGAGGCAGCGGACAATCGATGAGAGGGTTGGTTGCCCTGCTTTGCAGTATCAATGCGGCGCAAGGAAAATGCAAAGCCCAAGGCTTCTGAACGCTGATATCAGCAGTGTAGATGTTGACTTGTAGGTGTGTCGCGCTCAAGTTTTCTGATTTTGGCTGCTTTCAGTCTCGCTGAGTATTCTGTAGTGTCTAGTGGGTTGATGATTGGCAGAGCACATGCTTTTTGCGCTTGGTGGCATAAACGCGTAAGCAGCACCTATCGAACTTTAGGGCAGCAGGCCGTCACACAGGACGGTGTGCCAGGTACCCTGCACAGTCTGATGCAAAGGGGTGGTCCTTTAGCACACCAACCTGACAATTACTTTGGCTGATGCTGTTGATCACTAGTCTGGTCACCACTTTGCAGGTCCCAAACGTGCTTGGGTATACTCAAGAGATTGCGCACCCAGGATGGGACGCCAAGTCCTGATGTGTGAACGCGTCACAACAGGTTTCATGCATTGTGTCTTTTGCAGCACCAAGCTGTTCGGGAGGCTGATGGCTCTGCGCCAGACACGCCACAAACAGCTCTTTGTTTTCGCTGCTGACTTTGTCAGCACAAGCAAAATTGAGGCAGACTCTCTTCCGCCATCCCCATGGCAGACAGGCTGAAGAAATCACTCAACTGGAGATTTTCCTACGTGCTACGGTCGGGCCCAGGTCGATGCTCAGATCCTCAGCTCGAATTCATATAAGAAGTGAGGACAGTGTCTGGAGATGTAGAAGGCCCACTTAAAAGAAACGAGCGGTTGACAGTTGAAGCCATAGATAAGCCATACGACTCCATGATGCAACAACGCTGGAAAGTTGTTGATGGGACGTTGCCCCATCCCCTGATCTTCTATGCAGAAGACACTTCGACGAGGTAAAAACAGACACCATTATGATCAGCAAGTCAAGCTTCCACGTGGAACTCGTCACAGGGCTTGTAGTCACTGCAGCCCTCTCGAACGGGACCCTTGCCTCTGGCGTTTGCAATGAGGTCCTGCGCATTGAAGCTCCTAGCTGCCTAGAGCAGAGCGTCTCAGCCAAGCAATCTTTGTAACGCAGCCCTGTCCCCCATGTGATGGTTCACGAGGCGGTGATCAGCCTCATCAGCTCTCACCTCAGTTGGGGAACTGCTTGCCGACACCTGCTGTCTTGATACAATGGATGCAGGTGAATGTTGGGTGACCCTCGTCGTGGCAGGATGTTGGTACGTCGTGACGCATCTAGATGGCATCTGCATCTTGCACGAGGGAAGACATCCCTGCAAACAGCTGTGCGAGGCTGCCAAGGAACTACCAGGATCACATCCCGCAGGGTTGCATCTTCAGGCATGTTCCAGTACTGGATGGCGACTCTGGGCGCAGGCACATTTTTGATCTTTCCTGCATCAACCTCAGTAGCAGCGACTTTAGTCTGTAGTATAGCTTGCGTTGACGATGAGTATATGTAGGCTGGGCCTGCGATATAATGTGACATCTAATGGTCTCAAGCCTGTCTTATAATACAACTCTTGGCTCTCGACTTCAAACCTGTAACATGCAGCATCAGCAAGGTTCTGAGAACTCCACATTTCGTGGTCGTTTGCGCGCACCACCACCCTCCAACCCACTACCATCACCCCCCATCATCGCGCTAACCACCCACCTCAACGTTTTTCTATTCCATTTGCAATTGAATTTCAAGAGGACTGTGACATTTCTAGTCATTTTAAGAGGAACCAACCATTTCTATCCAGTTCCGAGCGGATTCTGACCATTTCTGTCCATGTTTAAGAGGAATCTGACTCTCTTCGATTCAATAAGAGGAGTCTTACAAGAATCTGACCATTTCTATTGAGTTGTAAGATAGGATTCCAAGTATCGCCCGAGCTTGGTGGGGGTGGTTGGGGGGGGGTGGGGAGGGTTGTCAGTTGGAGGGAGGCTGTTAGGGCTGTGTGAGGTGGTGGACCGAGTGGTGAGGGTCTGGAGGTGATGGTGTACTGCCCACATCACGCCAACTAGCCAGCACAGGAGATGTATCAGCAATAGTCCTGCTAAAACTGTGCCAGCAACCATTTTAAGCATCTCCGTGTAGGTGTGCACAGCCTCTTCCTCCAAATATCCCACGAATCGATGGGCAATGCGTGGTGTTAGCACATAGAAGATGGTGTAAGCTGCAAAGAAGACCCCTTGACCACATACCACCATCACGCGTTGGTGCCATCGTTGCTGTGCCAGTTCCATGAAGGTCATGAGGTGCATTCGCTCGTTCTCGGCCTTCACAAAGCTTAAGGCAAAGAGCAGAGAGCTTCCTCAATTTCAGCTGTGCCTCTGCTTGTCCTGTATGTAGTTGTGGTGATTTCGCTATATTCCACTATTTCATGAAGCTGTAACCTGCCAACCAGCTACAATACAGTCATCCTTGCATCATCTCAGAAGCTCAAAGTTCATGTTGGCTACACACTGCCTCGTCCATTGTTGGCTTGATCCAGTTGCAGTGCCTTGCCAACTCTGTCTGGTTCCCGCATGCTACAAGAAAAATGCGATGCCATACAGCCGTCTAGCAGGGACATGATCAAGAATCCAGGTTTGACTGGCTCTGAGGCAAGGGCACTAGACGCCGCAAGGAACGCATATGGTGAATCCTCAGAGCAACAGCCCGCCGCAAACGACATCACAAAGTTGCTTGTGATTTTGTAGTTGGCACTCCTCCACCGGCAGCGGCCCGTTCTCTTGACACCAAGGCACATTCCGGCCACAAATCCTGGTACGGCAGCTATGGTCTCGAGCATGCCTGGTCCAGGCTTGTTTGACATGGTTGTACGTGCTCAGGCCGGAGAGTCTGCCGTTGAACTGCTTGCCGCCAAACTGCAGGCTCGATCGAGAAGCCTGTCTTTGAAATAGGCATCCTGAGCTTGGCAGAACCATTCTGGAGGGGCTGGCTGGACTCCGTGCCCCCTGCAAACCGCCTGTCCTGTTGTGGAACTTGCTGTCAGGCTAACTGCTACTGAGAAGCACTGGCCTTGCGCAGGGTTTTGACAATGCGAAGGGCAACACGATCATGCCAGGTGACCTTACCAAGATAGCACTTGCAAGCAGAGGATTTGAAGACAAAGCATCGCTCGTGCTTCTAGCGAATGCAGTGTACAGACCAAGCCAGGGCTATGTGTGAAAGTTAAAAAGCATGACGAATTACTGTTGTGTAACCTTGTATTTGTCACAATCAAGCCAAGATGCTGGTTCGTAGTGGGGCTGGTCCATCCAGTCCTCCGTTCAAGTGTCCAACACTTATCACGTGTTTGTGATGTTAGCTGGGGAAAAACTACCCGTGCTCAATGGATCCTTGTCCAAGGCCTCGAGCACCTCGCGAGAAGAACCTTCGTGTCATCATACATCAATGCGCACGTGCGCCGCAGTGCCCTTGCGGACTGTTAGCACCTAGCTTAAACTGCAGATCACGCTCCTTATGCTTTTTGCCAAGTGGCGGCTGTAGCGCGTGGAGTGGCGATGAAACTCGTGGCAGGGTGGCCGCTCGGGTGACAGCTTTACATTGGCAGAAGGTGGGTTGAGCACTGTTGGATCATGGGACTGTGTTACAGTCGAGTGCCAGTGGCCAGCTACAGACTTCAAGGCCGTGAACTGAACACGTCGTGCGCAAGCGTGGCCATGGGTCGCAGCTTGTAGTCCCTGGCGTCAATGATGCTTCAGGCTCAAAGCTCGTGACTTCTATATGCAGCCGTCATGACAACCATACAGTTCCCGCGCCTGAAGCCGAGCAAGACCTGCAACCTGGCCTGTCGCTCGCTTCATCGTTAAAGACCAGCAGAACATCTCTGAGAGGATCTCTTTTGGAAATGATGACTTGCCTCAAGCTGCCTGCTGGAAATGGCTGCGTACATATCAGGGAGGAGGGTTGAGGAGGCATCGGAAATCTTACTTGACACGAGATGACACTGATGACACATCTGAGCCCATTGCAAGGTGGAGCTTCTGCTGCCGGACAGCACCCAAGCGGCGCAGGCGCTCACCCAATCGCTGCTCAGCCTTCATGGATGCTGTATTTCTCATTCTATGGACGCCTGACGTACTCCCAAAATGTCAGGATCTTCTTCTTGCGCCCACGCTAAAAGGGACTTTCTTTCGAGAATTCCCATTTGGCCGAACCGGGCATGCACGCCACCTGATTTGAAGCAAACATGGATAGTTGTCCAAGCCTGAAGCCCCAAGGCTTAATATCCTCAACCTAAATTCTGCTTTAGGAGCACCCGGCAACCCACCAAATCTTCCGTGCCTCCGCTACCTCGTCGCGCGCACGGCGGCAGCGCTCTGCAGCCGCCAGGCGCGCAGAGCCCAGAGCATCCTTCGAGTCGCAGGGCTTTGGCACAAATGTTCGCGTAATAGAATATTATACCCTATAATCATAGGATATATTACCCCCCAATAATGGAGAATCAACTGGAAAAGAACAAGGAAAATGAAATTGAAACTGGGATTAGAGGATAGTTTATAGGGGTTATATAGGGATGATGGAAAAGGAAATGGAAACTACTATCATGGGTTATGTAGGGAGTTAGGGCATAATGGGTAACACATTGGGAAGTTGTTGTTGGGGAGTGTTGTTCATAGGGGAGGGGATTAGAATGTCCAACAGGGTTCAGGCTTCTCGTGTTTTAGGATGTTGCCCTGAAGATCAGCCACTTTAAAGGCTAATCGCATGATTCCGCCATACTCAAGGTGTCCCTCAGGTAGCATTTTTCCCGACCTTAGTGCAAATCCAAGCAACGCCAGCATGAAAACCAAACAAAAAAACCATGTGGAGAACAACCGCATTACCCACAGTGTTGGGAGGGCTGCTGAATCTCAGGCAGAAACGCATGACGTGACCAGCTCTGCATTGTGTTTACCCGCGCCCTCCCCACCGCTGCAGAGGTCTTGCAGCTTTTGAGATATGGACTTTCTTGCCTACTGTGCCAGTCTGTTCCATTGCTCCACTCCCTTTTTCCCAAATTACAAGCCTCTTCCTCACGTGCTGATTTGCTTGACGAACCTTCCTTGTAGACAGAACACGAATCAGCAGTTGACGTGGCGGTTGCTCCTCTTCGAGTGGCTTGGCTTCGCCGCTCCTGCGAGGCACATGCAATACTCTCCGGGAGAAAACCAGCAGCAATGAAAGCAATGCATCTCAAAATGGTTGATCGCAGCTGGGCACAGAAAGAGCTACGCCGGGCCGAATGCCTGTGCATCTGCGCTTCCTGCACCTCCTGCAAGAGTCAGCGGCTCTCCCGATCATCCCTCCCACGGCATCCCACGGCAAAGTGATAGCCGCCTGGATGGCAGCCTTTGCTTGCTCGTGTCGCTGTGAGAAGTCCAGCGCCTCCACAGCTGCATGCAGCTTGCAAAAGCACCACCGAACAGCTCAGCAACCTTTGAATACGTCGCACGCACACGGAACAGGCCTCCGCCGCCAAGGATTCTGCTTTGGCCTCCAGCCGCTCCACCTGCTCTTTGATAGGATGAGTATGGAGGCATTTGCATCAATAGTCCGGCCCCTCAATTTTACACGACGCATCATTGCTGGTCAGCTTCTGCCGAGCAATCGGGGTCCTAAGCAAGTGCCTTTGACTTCACCGACCAAAGTGCTTGTGCCTTCCGTGGGGTCTGATCTCAAGACTTAGGTGCATGTCGGTGAGTGGAGAAGGCAGTGACTGGCTTCTCAAACTATTGTTGTGAAGCAGAATCCGACGGTCTCCAGCTTCAAACAGTTGGTTGCGTGAAGCTCCAGGGCTTCACGCCTAGATACAAATGCCTTGCAGTTTTATGCAGGTCTTAACTTCAAGCTTGGCGCAGCAAATGTCTCTCACTCGTGCAGCCAGGCCAGGTTGTCAAAGCTGATATCCTTGTCGGCCAACTGCCAGGATCAGCACAAACAACAAGGTTCTGCATACCCACACGCGCATGCACAACTTTGGATCTATGGTCACCAGGGCCAGGCTGCCTTTCATCTCTAACTGTAGGCATGCAGCAATCACACCACCAGTGCGAGGCAGGATTGGATTCGTCGGGACACCCTCAACCTGACGCTTGGGCTCTAACAGGTCTTTGCGGGAAATCGAATGGTTTTGACATTGCTACTTACCTGTGCCAGGGTTAACACACATCACTCGGTGAGAATACACATCATCTACTGCGGTCGCTGGCATTGGGAAGATTTCGCATCAGCGGCAAATCTGCACATCAGAAATGGTAATGTAGACGCTGCTTCCAGGGCAACCCGACCCAAGGGTGGATTTTCCGTTCTGCTGCGGACGCTGGGGTTTGAGAAGCAAATCACAAGATTTAAGTCTTGAATTTCGTACGATTCCCCATGTAAACACTGGTTTTAGGCCGCTGGTTTTCGGCCGTCCGAGACAGTTTTCGATACTAAGCGATTGAGCCATGGCACATAAACAATCAACGTAAGAAAAGGTCTCCTTCCATGAGTTGCAAAGATCTGCATGGATGTGACAATGTCTCATATCTAGTATTTCCGGGAGTGAGACGCAGCGCATGCAACACACACGATACATTGCGATACCATACAGACATGCTGCATCATGAGCTGAAACCCTGTGGACGCTGTAGAAACTTGCATTTGCTTATGCGTGGCATCTATTCTAGTAGATGCTTTTGAACTGGGTCCCCCAGTGTGGACGCTGCTGAGATAGACTGACCACAGCTAGATATTGCTAACGTCCATGATTCTTAGTGCCAGTAGGTCTGCGCCCAGGAACGAGTTTGTCGGTGCAACCAACAGCATGCAGCCACCATGTTCCGGAGGGATAGGCCGGCTGATTCTTGATGTGGCCACCTTGATCTCAACAAGCTTCCACTGTAAGTATCCCATAGCCGTAGTGGCTTGAATAGTGGACTGGGCCATGGTTGGTATTTTCAACTGTGTGGCAACCTTGGTGGAACTTCTACTTTGATGCCAGGCGCAGCTGTAGGTGTTGGACGCAAAGTTTGGGTTCCCCATCACGGCACTGCAGTCCTGTCACTTGCCAGCCATTTGTCAGGTGCGGCGCAACACTGTGGAAGCTACTGACTATCCGTGTACCCCATGTGCAGGACACCAGCTTTGCTAAATCAAACGTCAGCTCTTAAAAAACAACATCAGAATCACATGTTGGAAGCCTCGCCGGGCTGATCTGCTCCCCCGTAGCCACAAGTGGGATCAATGCACTTCCACTCCTGGGCTTGTGCACGCACTAGCCGGCAAGGTAGGCAAGACCGAGCCAAGAGTCATCCATGGCCCAGCAGTACGTTTCCGCATTGTTTGCCTAGGTGCAGCTACAGATTTTCAAGCTCCTTCGCATACTTTCTTCCCATGCTGCCAGTGTGGTTGAAGATGCTACAACACTGCCACCTCCCACTACCTACTCACATTTAAGCAGCAAGTCGCATACAACCAGCCGCAGTAGCTTTCAGAGCTCTCATAGCTCCGAGCATACCACTGTCGGCAGCGGTGCTGACCTCTGGCTTGCTTGTGCTTGCATGACCCTAAATACCTTATACCCTGAAAATTATGGTACTGTGGTATACCAAGGTCACGCAGGATTTTTAGTATCATCAGTATGTTGCTGACCGATGCGGTGAGATGCGCCATGAACAACCGGGACACTGGAGAGCATGAGGCCATATGAGCTATAGTCTAAACTCCTAATATCCCCTTTTTGCTCCCCTTCAATCCTAGATACTCCCCTATATAACCGCCCTTTACAGTGTTTAGCTTATAGCTCATATGAGGCCACTGATTCCAATTCCAAGCGACCACACGGGTTGTCCGCCAGAGACCCGGGGCATCCCGTGTAGCAAGCATCCTCAAATAGACGGAGGTTTCCCAAAAAGTAGTACTGGGGATATTATGGGATAATGAAACTACTATTGAGGGTTTAGGGTTTCCAGAATTGGGGGTACTATAGTATATTAGGGTCTATATGGGGGTCGCCCTATTTTGGGAAGCTACGAGATTTCAACAGGTGACCAGCGCATGTCACTCCCCTAGCTTTCCGCTTTGCAACAAGGGATGTTCGCTGCCCCTAGCTGGCCCAAGCATAACTCATTCGATCCATGCGACCGGCTAGGTCAGAGTCGGCTCTTCCCCTGAAGCTCTGCTTCACCCGTGCAGCTGCTTTCTCGGCTCAAAATCACACTTGCGCGGTACGAACCGGGGTTGCGCGAGTTGGGTGTTAACTGACTTGAAATTGTCCCCCTTTATTTAGAAAGATGAGGTATTACGAAGCACTTCAAATTCAATTTTGAAGGTGGAGGATGGAGAATAAGCACAGTGTCTGCGAACAAGTACTTGCAATGCTGATGGCGTCTCCTTTGCACCTTAAGCCGGTGTGATATGCACATGCCAAGAAGCATTGTTGCAGTTTGGGTCCGAAGGCGAGAAGACCGGACAGTTGCATTCACCGTAGCGGTGCCTCATGGGAGTTGCGTCCAGCGGGCCAGCGCAGAAACAAAATCTGGCAAACTGAATTGTTTACTCTTACGCAAGCTTATGCAAAGTCCCTCTGGCATCCTTTAAGTGAGGCACTTGTCTGCCAGAATCGTCGGGAATCCAATTCCAGGAGCTGGCTCGATGCGTAGGGAAGAGCCGGTGAACTTCTCAGGGAGAGCTACCACATCCTCAGTTTCGCTATTTCCTGCCATCTGTTAAGAAGATAATGGAAGAGAACCTGTCTCCTTCAATCATCCCCACTCAAACGCCTTGTTCGCAAAAATGCAAGCTGCATATGCAGCATGTTGCCAAATGCTGGAAGAGGTGAGTTTTACTCTCGTTCGCTCAGCTTATGTGAGCGGCCATGCTTGCTACACTCAAAATATGATTGCCGTCGGACCTGATCAAAATCAATCAGAAACTGAAATTATTCTGGCTTGGCGGCAGTAACCTTTCCACTGCCATCCGTGTAGTTCATTGTGAGACCTCCTGATACGCCCTCCACGGAAGTCAAATCCCAGGACACCACGGTTGTAATCCTTGTCAGGCGTTGCAGGCACAGGAAGCAAGACTTTGCTGACCATGACATGACATCAAGCCCCAGAGCCGAGATGCGTGAACTCGACCTGGCTCTGGTATTGAGGTCCCATTGAGAGCCTTGTTGCGGTCTGCCGATTGTTGTGCTTGTAAGCAGCCAAACTCTCAAGTCTGCTTTGGCAAAGATGTGTATCGTGGGGTCTGCCAGGCATTGTAAACCCCACTCGCTTGAAAGACATTCTGTTGAAGACGCAAGATTATGGCTCTGGAAATTTTTAAGAATTCCTGCATTGTTGACAAGTTGCGAGCGCTGCTGGTTGGATGCAATATCCTGAAACCAGCAGGTACCCGAAGGCCAATTTCCGCCTTCACCGAAGAAAAGAGAGATCCTCAGCTTGAAGAGTAGACAACTTTTTCTCCGTAGCCTGAGGTAACTTGCTTGCTAAAGTAAATTCAAGGGAAGATTGAACCAATCATTTCAGTTGCAGCCACTGCCCAAACCGATTAAAAGCGTCGATTCATCCTTCTTCAGGAACATGCACAGTGTCGTCAGACCTGGAACCTTAGGACATGGCAGCTGTACAGCTGTGAAAACAGAAAATTAAGCCCAGTCATCGACAAGGCACACCGTGCCCGTACTGGTCATTTCCGGTGCCCTGCAACGGGAACATATGGGAACTCATGATGGGTTGTCGAAATTCGTTGTAAATCTTGGAGTAGCCAACACAAGAGCCAGAATTTGGAGAATCCTAAACACTAATCTCAAGTCCCTGCGGCTCCCTTGCTCCCCCCCTCCCCTCACCTCCCCTCCCTTCCACCCATGCCCTCCTCCTGTTTTTTCCCGGCCCTCCCCAACCTGTGGTGTGGTTTGAGTCTTGCTAAACGGGATAATTCACGAGGGCTTATGTAAATATCAGAACCTCTACCCCCTTCTACCCGGGGCGGGCGCAGAACGCACCTCGATTACCTCGAGAACCCTGTTGAAGGGGCCATAGCTTTGACGACCTACCATTTGGGAACATTGGGAACAAAGGGAAGTGGCACTCTCGAATTGGCCCAGCCTGAGACTTGCGTCTACAATAAGCAGGTAATAACCTACACACCTATACTATATTGTTATTTTTCACTTGCTATTCCCATTATTCTATTGGCATCTTGCCGTCTTCTGCGCCTCGGAGCAGTCCAGTGCTGATCCACGAACGCTGACCGACAAATCCGGATCTACGAAGACAGTGCCTGGTAGCAGGCAACTCAAGTTTCTTCATTCTTACGTTGCTCCTCTGCTCCTGCAGCCTAGACACTCAGCGAATCTGAAGGGCCGCGACAGAACACCACACCACCAGACCATTCTCTGTTGACGATGCGCATGGTCAAAGATGCCTGATGGACATGAAGGCTCGTGCTGCAGGACGCAAGGGCATTCACAATCTGTGCTAGAATGCGTCGGGGGGGCTGGTCCATCGGGGATAGGCGGAGGTGGTGAAGGCGGTGTCGGCAGGGGTGTTGGAGGCGGCGGTGAGGGTGCCTCGGCACAAGCACACCTGCAGAAAAAGCGGAGCACCAGTTGAGGTCACAGCAGAGCTGCTGGAGATGGCGAACCGCCAGACACGCAGTCCTCGATCTTTTCTTGCATGCCGCCTAAGCTGGTTCAAAACTTGCTTCATGCCGGCCTGACACATTGCATTGCAAGATCTTTCCCACCAGGCTGCAGCCGTGGAAGTCCGGAGCAGCAGATGGGCAAATGATGGACGGGCCCGCGGGAAATTCTGGTGGACAGCACTGGTTTCCAGCCTCAGCAGAGCCGATACAGAGACATGCCAAACCACCAAACCATCGGACCTTCACAGACTGCATGTTGGGGCCACTGGACCCTGGACGCTGGGAATTCTTACAGAGGTTGCAACGTCTGTGGTTTTGCCAAGCCACGCAGCCAACACCAGAAATGGGACAAGTGACCTGGGCTTCATGATTTGCGAGAAAGGGCTGCGATTGAAACACTGGACAAGCATGGCAATGCACGGCTGCCGTATGAAGATCTTCGCATACGAGTCAATCTTTTTTCGATTGTCTGGCCAAGTAGCGTGGGCACCGATCTCACAGCCCTGGAGGGGAGTGTTTGGACTTGAGCTTGTGATTGCGGGCTTTATGGTCAGATTTAGTTGTAACGTGAGACTCTCAGAGTCAAAGCAATGAAACGAGGGGATCAACCTTTTCTCGGGGGTCGCGACAGGTCCTCGTGATTGCAGGTATGTTTCAGGTCATGCGGACCCAGCTTTTGAAAGTTCGGAACGTCATGATTGCAAGTAAGGTTTTGAGGGAGTTTAGCACAAGCAATTTGGGCGATTTGCATTGTTGCGCTGTCGTTGTTCTCGCCGTTGCCGCTGTTGCTGCTGCTGCTGCTTTTGCTGAGGCTGGTGTTGTTGCTCATGATGATGTTCCTGTTGTTGAAGACGACTAGTATCGGCCCAAGGACATATGGCGTCTATGTCCATGCGAGCATCATGGTACTTGATAATGGGCTTTAACTCCTAATCTGGCCCTTCGCATGATGAGTTTGCAATCACAACATTGCTATTTGCAAGTCCATGTAGTTTAGATACATATACATAACACGTATTGCAGTCTTTCGAGGTGGTTAACGATTCTCAAAGTTCTTCTTATGACAGGGTATGTTCAACATGGCATATTTCAACATCAGCAGCAGAACACACACACGCACGCACAAGTGCACACACGCACACACTTGAGTTTGAGTCACATGGACATGAAA